CAGCTGTCGTTAGCGTGGAGAGAGCAGCCAAGAACAAGTTGAGGAGGAGGAAGGTGGTCGCCTTCTTCGCCATCGGCAACGAGCTTAAGGTTGTGATTCCCCACATGGCTCGTACCAGCTATATACAAAATTTGGAGAAGAGATTGCTTCTATTCCAAGTTACATGTTGGTCAAAATTGACACGTGCTTTGACTGTGACGTTGATTTAATTGTCGTGCAGGAATTGTCGTGGTTGTTGTTCCTTCCTGTTCCACATAATAATGCATGTGCAATTGACCGACTTGGTTTTAGGCCAAAATGATCTTATTATGATGGTATTTCTAGTTTCGTACATGACCATTAAATGAGTGATATATGAACTAATTTCCTCTCTTCGAATAATTATGATGGTGTTATAATGGTCTTTCTAGTTTCAGGTATTTTTTTGGTTTCATAAATGATCAATTTAAATGTATATAATTAAGTGTTTCACAATCGAGGCCTATTGGACACCTCTTTAGTTGGGGCAAGAACACATTGCTTCTATCTAATATGTATACGATCTTCTAGAAGTATCTGACTACTAGAAATCGAATATTGATACAAATTAAGCTCAAAAAGCTTAGACTCATATCTTCTGAGTTAAATCTAATCTATGTAATTCGATTCTTTTAATCATTAATTATGTAAATTGTTCATCTTTTATTATCTCATTCATATGAATATTTTCAAAAATAATATGAAATTAAGATAAAAAGATTTTACATGCATAAGCCCTCTCTTTTATCATAGTTACTCATTACAAAGCATCAAATTTTTGGTCGTATTCAACTAAGAGTTGGTGTCATCCAACTTTATCAAATCAATGACTCTGGCAACCAGAAACAACTTTGTCAAGAAAGGAATGCGTATGAAGTTAGCCGCCACGTTCATAGCTCGACATGTGGCGAGACTCGAATGATCTGATAGCTATCAAAATCCAACCGCAACAGTTCATCAAGAAGTTTATTGTTCATGCTGTGGAATTTTTTTTTCATTTCAATCATTAACAAGTTTGCTGAAATACCCTATTGAAATATAATTTCATGAGAAAATATCAAATCTCATATTTATAAAAAATAAATTATTATTTTTATATCTATAATTTATAATAATAAATATTTTAAACTAAAAAATCATGTCATTTTGGTAGAGCCACAAGTGATAAAAAAAAAAATCTCTTCTATCCAAAGCCTCATATTTATTATAAATTAGTCTGTTATTTTAAAAATAAATATATATCAACATAGATGGGAACTTTTAAAAAATTATAAAAATATTTTTTATATTTATCAAACATATATAAATGTCAATAATTTAATATAAAATAATAATATATTAAATTATTATTAAACTCATATATATAAATAATAATTCTTATATAGTAAATAAAATCATGTATCAATCATATGCCACACATCTTGATAACATATATGACAGTTAAATAACAAATGTATACATCTATCATGTGATATCTCTCACCCACACATCACGACGGAGAGAACCTCATATTACACTCCGAACAACAAATAAAGTGATATCTCTCACTCACAAGTGGAGACACATTCCTTCAAATAACAGATAGATTAATCATTCAACTATCATGTCTTATGACCTATTAATATCCATAAGGAATTGCTCGATCTACCATAGATAGGGATATATAAACAGCCATGATTATTTATTTATATAGTTCATAAAATCATAAAACCATGAGACATCAATCTCTAAATACTCCTAAATCAATTAAAATCCTAATTGGAATAGCCTAATTAACTTAAACAAAACTTAATTTGATTAGAATCTAATGAAACCAATCTCAAATCCTTAACTAGTATAAAATCATCTTAGACTAGTCTAATTTAGATTTGATTGATTTTAATTAGGTCAAATAGGTTCGAACTAATTAAGTTAGTATGAAATCACGCTAAACTAATTTGAATCGATCAAACATATATGATTCAATCAATTAACAAGCTCAAATCAATAAAAGGAGATGAAATTTCACTATATCACATGGTTCTAGTCCAAATCGAATTAACTCACTTGAGTTAGACACATGTCACATAGCTGGGCGATGTAATTTTCGGGCTAAGCCGAGTCTTACCATTCAATCGGGCCACACTTAGCTCACGAGTTGGGTCATGCCTAGTCACATGAATTGGACCATGCTTGACCACATGGCTTGGGTCATGCTTAGTCATATGAGCTGAATCGTACTTAGTTACATGAGTTTGAGTCATGCATAGCTGAATGAATTACATCGTATATAGCTACATGGGTTAGATCGTAATTGCCCACGTGAGTTCGATCATGCATAACCACATAGGTCAAATCATATGGGGTCAAGTCATACTTAATTATGTGCTATACCTAGTCACATGAGTTGGATCGTACCTGGGCATATAGTCTAGGTCATATATAACCATATAAGTTGGACCTAACCACATAGACTAGTCTCATTAATCAACTTAACTTAGATCACTCCCAATTTGTCCCCTCTTATTAAATTAGATTTTAATAATTTTAATTATTAAATAATAATTTAAATCTATGAATTAAATAATTTAGATTCGTGATCTTAAATTTGAAACTAATTAAATCATAAAAATTCTCATATAAATCTTAAAACATAAATATATCTAATTAAATAAATTAAAATTATTGCATTAATCAAAAAATAAAAAATTTAATAATTAAAATAATTTTCAATTTTATTTAAGCTTAATGACTATTATAAATCAAATAATTATTCTAACATCATAAATCAATTATCATTGTTTATTAATTATAAATTTTTAAAATTCAAATATTATTATACATCATAAAATTCTAATAATCCTAACATTTAAAATTTCAAAACATTAATCAAATTTGTTTAGGAAAAAGTAAAGAATCTTACTTCTTCTCAAAGATCTTTCCTCAATCCTTACACAAAGGAAGGATGAGGCTACCCAAAAGATAAATAATAATTTAATTTTTTAATTTTTTTTATTTTACTTTCATACAAAGATAGAATTATAATATTTATTTCTTATTATTCACACATAAAAATGAAATTTGATCTATGTGCTTTTTAAAATTCACACCACTCATTAGAAAATAAATCGATTAATAATTTAATTAATTAATAAAATTCTTAACTTATCCACATAATTAAGGAAATTAATTTTATTCATTTTTTTAATCATACTACACAAACAAAAAAAGTTAATAATTTAAATAAAAATATTATATTATTTATAATAATTAATTTATATTAAGGGAGAACAATTATGAGTGATTGAAATAAACTTTCAAATAATATAGAAAATGCACAAGGATTAGATATCAAAGATCTTAGAAGATGATCGAGTCGTTAGAGATCTTGTTATTTTCAAAGTACCTCCTTCAAAGGTTACAAAATAGATTTTTGATTCAAGGTTGATTATTGTGGATGATGCTATCATCTCCTCTCCATCTTATCGATACCTCATCATTAACAAACTGATATGTCGTAATCCATCAGACTAACACCTTAATGTTGCTTTAACTAAGAAGTTGAATTAATTGATTGTTACCTCACGGTTTGATTGCATTTAAGATCAGAAAAAGTACATAATCATTTTTTATATTTATCCACAACCTTAAATTCAATGGTCTCTTATGATACTATCTCGAGGGACATGACAAAAAAGACCTTTTTTGGCTTTGGATTGACATTCGAACAACCAAAAAAAAAAATATTTTAAATATTTTATTTTAGATTTATTTTACTATATTATTATTTTTTTAATATTGAGTTCAAATTTGAGCCTCAGAAAAAAAAAAAGGATCATATTCCCAATGCATTTCTTATCTTACATAATTCTGATTGCCCTTTGTAGCTCAATTATACCATTTTCACATATCGCCATCTCCAATGGATCCATCGATCGAGGTTGTGATGGATCTCCCACCTCGAATAAATGCCCAAAATCTGATCTCATCACAAATAATATGATTGCGATCAAGAAAAGAATAAAAGCCCAACCCAATCGAAGAACAGAAAAAGGTATCCTTTACATTCATCAGAGTCTATGGTTAAAATGCAACAGAGAGCAGAGAAGAAACAGATGAAAACAAGATGATAGCAGTTGCAAATACACGAAACTATTTGAGGCATCAGTTCAAGCTTCATTCACCTAAACGCTTCGAAGCATTACTCACATCCATAGCTCGGTGCATCATGCAGTGCTTCTTACTTGTCTTCTTCCACCAGCTCCGAGATGGACAGTAGGGAAAGCAACAGTAAAGGAAGACCAACCTCAAAAGCTTGAGCCTATCTTTAGCATGTCAATCATCAAAGTGCCATTTTTATACTCTTTAATGTCACCTTAGCAGGATCTAACCGGACAAGGTAGAATCTTATCTTTGATCAACCTGCAGATCTACAACAATCTAACAGACAACTCAAAACAAACATTAAAATAGGACACCTATGCATCATCGATGTTCAGTGACCAAAACTATATGATGGTCAAGATCAATCCAGTATCCTTTCTTATCATAGTTCAACAAGTACCATTTTAGAGTTCAATGTCCTCAGATGCAGCAACACATGATGTTTCAAAGAAGGAACAACAACCATCTCAAACTCTGGGTCGTAAGAATTCGTCTCCCAAAGTACTGGCAACAAGAAAACAGCATCAACAGCAAGAACCTTTTCTCCTCCTTTCTCCCTCGTGCTCTTGGCAAGAGCTTCATCAGAGTATGTAACAGCTAGCCTTGGATCTACCACCGGATCCTTAATTTGTCAGACAACTTGGAGACACATACTGAGCCACCCATGCGGATGAAGATTTATATTAGACTTCAGTTGTAATCATGTGTAATAAAGAAAAGAGACCTGTCGGCAGAAATCCTACATCTCTTTCATCACAAACCAAGACTCACATTGCCATCACATGGACCACGGTTTGCCATGGTTCTTGCTGTCTCCCTTTCTGCTCTGTATTTGTTGTGATCTATATATAAGGAAGTAGAGCAGAAGGACCAGAACCAAGTCCCTCACCCTCCTCTTCCGATCCTTCATAGAATTCGAGAAGTGGTTAGCAGAGAAGAAGGCAACAATGGCCAGTTCTACCACAACAGAGAAGACCTTCCATGTTCGTTCAGTGAGTTTGCCTTCCCGAACTCATCCAACTACGTTCAGGGTCGAAGAAGAGCTGCACAAACTGAAGCCTTTTGTAGAATCATCACTTGCATCTATGCCCTCCATCACAAACGAGGTGATCTGCAATGGATTGAAAGATCTTGCTGCTCTGTATGATGGCATCGAAGATCTTCTTCACCAACCAAACATCCAGCAAGGCCTACGCCGCTCCAACCAAACAAAAGCTTTGGAGGAGGATGTGGATGGATCAATGAGGTTGTTGGACCTCTGTGGCACCATGAAGGATGCAGTCGTTACATCAAAAGAGCATGCGCAAGATCTTCAGCTTGCGCTTCGAAGAAGAGGTGACAGTTCTACCGGAGAAAAAGTGCACGCCTACATTTGCTCAAGAAAGGAGACACAGAAGACCATCAAGAAGTGCTATAAAGATTTGAAGCAGATGGATGCCAAATGTCAGTGTGTCTCTCTTACCTCTGAAGATTCAGATCTCCCAGTGATCTCAAGGCTACTGAATGAAGCAAGAATGATCACCAGATCTCTCCTTTGCTCAATCTTGCAATCATTGGTAATGCCAAAAACCAAAGCAACCTGGTGGCCTTTTGCCTCCAAGGCTATGCGAGTGGCATCCAAGAAGGGCTTACTTGGAATATGGCATGCAGATGCCTCCTCCCTATGTGCAGCTCTTCAAGATGCTGATGCTGAGAAGACAATGATGGGCCAAAATCAGTTGAAGGCACTTGAGATCAGTCTTGGAGATCTTGAGAATGGTTTGGAACACTTGTTTCGGAGACTGATCCAGAACAGGGTGTCACTCCTTAACATTCTCAGCCTCTAGATGTTCATCAAACGCTCTGTGCCTGACCCCCATCATTGGCATCCGCATTTTAAAGGATAAGCTGATGAATTCCAATTTTGCATGCACCAGAGATGTAAAATTGTATAGAATAGATGTTTCATGAAATGGAAGTCATTCATCAAGGTGCTCACCTTCATGTGTTGGACATTTTGTTGGCCTCAGATACTTTTTTTGAATGAACTTGTTGCCTTCTCATCCGGTAAATTGGTTTCTGTCAAATTTAAAGAAGAATTTGGATTAGAGATCACAAATTAAGTAGTTCAAGTGTCCAGTTAGAACTGAAGTAACTCAAAGTCAAAGACATCAAGGAAAAGAAACCAAAATAACTATCACGGCTTCTCCATGGGCATAAAAGGTTGGAGATTGACTTGTGAGATAGAGTTGACATCTTACATTAAATTAAATGACCAAATTCAGTTATATATATATATATGTGTGTGTATGTATGTATATATGTATGTATGTATGTATATATGTATGTATATATATGTGTGTGTGTGCGCACGTGCTCGTGCACGTGTGAGGGTTGCAGAAATATGGATTTTAGTGTCGTCAACTATTGCATTACAATCTAATTTTTTGAAAGATAATTGTTTGCAATGCTGGCGTACACAATAATTGTTTACTAAAATAAGAAAGATAATTAAATTGGTTGTCACCTGGACTACCATACTTTCAAAGATTCTCATTGTCTCTCCAAACTTGAATGGCTATTATAGACAAGGAATCAAGTGAACAAATCATATGTATGTTATGCTTCTTAAAACTCAGCAAAGCTGGTGTTTGGTTTTTTGTAGATGTAGCTTAGCCAGATGACACTAACATCTCATAGATGCAAATAAATGCCTCTTTTGGATCCAGTCAAAGATTGTTTATCTATTTATCACTGTAAAAATTATTATAATAGCACTTTAGGAGCTTAAGTATGACAGAATAAGCGACAGAATTCATATAAAATACGCTTCAAGAGAATATATAAGAACAAAGACAATAATGATAAATAGCCTATTATACAAAATCCTACAGGATTTAACAACAAAAAGAATTTAACCATCTTACTTGGACAGGAAAAAGCTGTTAAAAAGTACCCATAACTTAAAACTCAAAGATGCTTTATGCCAAGACAAAAGGTTTCTGACCTCGACAAAGTCATCTTATACATTGTGACCAAGAAGCTCCATGTTTGATGATCATATGAAAAGATGCTTTCTGTAAGACAAAAATGATTTAGAAAGCATGTTCCAGATCTATTAGCATATATTTACTACTCTTGCTGCTGGAGAACTGGTAAACAATCGGTGGAACAAGAAGACTACAGAGCATGCTTGGAGATGAAAACAAAGACATGATAGGTGTCTGAATTGCCAAGATGCAATATGAATACAATGTATTCTGTTGTACAAACAAAGATTCAAAACACCAAGGGGCTTAGTCAGCCATGATTCCTTGTGCGGCGCCCCTCCACCCCCCGCGCCTCCAGTCTCCACGGTGTTAAATGTTTTATATGCATAGTTTAACCAAAGGAATAACATATTCTCCATGGTGCTGTTAAGTGTCCATGACAGCAATTCATGCTATATGATGTGGGGTTTACCAACCCCTAGTTTTAAGGCCTTTACCACAACAGTCATAGAGTCACAACTCACATAAAACACTGCTTAGATCGAACTGCAACGTTGATCAGATGAATGGAAACTCAGACATATCTTCATGAGTTTAAATCACTAAATACATGCCTCATCTAGAAAGCAATTCGTTTGTGATATCATATAAGTTTATAGTTTAAGTCATAACACATCGACTCTAATGAATAATATTACAATTCAGGTGAGAGGTTGCATGATTCATCGATCACCTCTGCCTACTGGTACAAGGACTTCAAAGCTTGCTTCCACCCTTCCTAAAGATGCTTCCCATGGCCTTGGCCTTCTCCCTAAGTATAAACTTTTGCGTCTTCCCGGTGGAAGTCTTTGGTAGATCCTCAAACACAACTGTTCGGGGAGCCATGTAATGAGGTAATCGAGCACGGCAAAACTTCATAATATCCTCTGCACTGATATTAACACCATCCTTCAGCTTGACAAATGCACAGGGTGTCTCACCCCAGTAGTCATCAGGCCTTGCAACTACTGCTGCTTCAAGCACTGTCGGGTGGCTGAAGAGCACTGACTCCACCTCAATTGAGCTTATATTCTCCCCACCTGATATTATAATGTCCTTTGATCGATCCTTGATCTGTATATAGCCATCTGCTTGCCTGACTCCAAGATCCCCTGATCGATACCATCCTCCACTCATAGCATCCATTGTTGCATTTAGATCCTTATAGTACCCATTCATCACTGTGTTGCCTCGGAACATCACCTCTCCGATCGTATGCCCATCAGCAGGAACACTCTTCATGGTGACCGGATCTTTTATGTCAATCTCCTCCATTCCAATGTGATGAAGCCCCTGGCGGGCCTTCAGCTTCGCTCTTTCCTCGAGGGGTAATGCATCCCACTCAGGTTTCCAAGTACATACAGTTGCTGGACCATAAGTTTCAGTGAGACCATAAGCATGAGTGACAGTAAAACCCAGCTCTTCCATCTTGGACAAGACTTGGGAAGGGGGAGGTGCAGCACCAGTCATCACTCCCACTTTTCCAGGAAGTGGTTTTCTTTCTGTGATTGGCGCATTTATGATCATATTAAGGACTGTTGGTGCACCGCCCAAGTTGGTTACCTTGTGAAGGGCAATCATATCAAATATGGCCTTTGCTGTAACATTTCGGAGGCAGATATTGATGCCTCCTTGAGCTGCCATGCCCCATGCAAGGCACCATCCGTTGCAATGGAACATGGGTACAGTCCACAAATAAACTGGCATTGTTGTTATGTCATTGGAAAGAATCGTTGCGATGGCATTCAGGTATCCACCTCTGTGACTATAGATGACTCCTTTTGGCTTTGAAGTAGTGCCAGAAGTATAGTTTATCGAGATTGGATCGCATTCATCATTGGGCCATTTGATCTCAAAGTTAGGAGGGGCAGTTTGCAGAAGGGTCTCATAATCTGCATTAAGTGACATATGAACACCTCGGACTATGGGAATGGAGTCATTAAAATCCGAGATTATGATCATAGTGGGAGGGTTGATGTTGGACTCAGAGAGAAGCTTTAATGCTCCCTGGCCAATTTCAAGAAGGTGGGAGTCGACAAAGAAGATCTTTGCCTCTGAATGCTTAAGTAGAACAGAGACCATGGCTGAATCATGCCGTGTATTGAGTGTGCAGAGAACAGCACTGGCCATTGGGACAGCAAAATGTAGCTCATACATAGCTGGAACATTTGCGGCAAGCACAGCAACCTGGTTGTAACAGTAATTAACAATCCCTAGATTAACTATGAATAAGATCTTGAAAGAAGGTATGTGAATACAATTTTAACTATTATTAACTATGAATACGATCTTGTAAGAGGGCATGCGAATACAATTTTAACTACAAAAAGATGCATCTCTATTGAAAAATCCAGATTGAATAGTATATTGAAGCACAAGTGATAGGTCTCATGCTCAAGTCCACATGTAAGCATCATGTACCTCATTTAATGTAATGTAATTTTTTTTTAAAAAAAATTAATTTAAAAGAATAACAAAAGATGCATTTTATTAATCTTCTTCATCATGAATAATGCAATAACTATGACCTGAATGACACTCTCAGTCCATGCCTGAGTACAGGATAATAATTACAGACATGATCTTGGAGCATATAATTGTGACTTCTTTATCATGATTTTGATAAATACAAATGCAATAAGATAGTAAAAGCATTAGTTTAAGAGTGATGAACTGGAGGACGGACGACGAACATTTCAGATATTGTCATAGTTTACCTCCATCTAGCAAATATTGCAACGTAATATTTACAAGACGTACTAGAAGCCAGGGTTCTAATTGAAAAGCCAGCAGTTCGATCTAGTTTAAAATCTGAGGTATTAGAACGATTCCCGAACAAAAGATTTATATCAATTCAAACAACAAAATGAACCAAAAAAAAGCAAATTGAGGTCGAAAAAAATATGAATCGCATGAATTAATCTTAAGTATTGGCCTAAATCATGGGCATGCCACTGTGACGGCGTCATCCATGAGTCCAAATAATGCTATTATTTCACATGAAGGAAACTCACAGTCGAAAGTCTTGAGATCCACATAGCTACTGCCAGTAACTGATACTAAACGGGAATAGAGAAAACAAGGAATCATATGACTCTATGCTACAGACCAGAGTTGATAAGGAGGGAGCTTACGACGTCGTGGCGGGAGATGCCGAGGGCGGAGAGGGCGGAAGCGAGCCTGAGGCAGCGATCGCGCGTCTGCTTCCAGGTGTAGGTGGTGGAGCCGTAGATGACGGAGGTACGATCGGCGTAGACAACTGCCGCGCGCTCGAGGAAGCTCAGCGGAGACAGCGGTACGTAATTGGCCGAGCACCGGATGCTGCCTTCCATCGTCCTTCTTCCGCCGTCCTCTCTCTCCTCCATCGCCTAGTCTCTCGATCCCAAGGATGAGCGGATTGACCAAACAGGAAAAGGACGTGGAACTCGCTAGGTTGCACACCTTAATCACTAGATCCCAGCCGTCCGTTTTTATCATGGCGAGTCCCGAAATCATTCGAATTGACCATCTGTTGAAATTGTTGAAGAGAATCCGTATCCGTTGATCAAAACTAAATGACGTCATATCGGCCACGTCTTCTATATAAGCAAATGACGCGTGTTGAATATGTAAGCGTCTGAGATAGATAAATATTGTCATAGGCTGTTGGAACGATGATTTAGTGCTGTAGCACCTCATCTAAAATATCTCATAGTTTGAAAGGTCATCGACGAACTAAGGCATTGAATTGATAATTCTAAAAATTATTTTAAAGTAATTTAGAAACTTGAACTATTATTTAAAATAAATGTATATATGCTTTCGAACATTATTGTTGTTGACTCTATTTTTTTTTATTATCTTTAAAAAATATTGAGTATTTTTTTTATATTGTTCTTTAACTCGAAGAGACTAATATTTGTCGCCATTCTGTTCTACGTTAAACCTCGATTTTTCGGATGGATGTTAAACATACATAAAAATCTATCGTAACGATGCACGGTCCAATCAACTACTATACCCAAATCAAGATATGTTGGGTTAATGGGCTGCATTCCAATAGGCTTTATAGATCCAGATAGGATCCGGATCCGATAACCCGGTGGCGGTGCCACTGAATTGGCACTAAGTGATAAGTCCAATAGTGTCGTATCCCACGGATCGGTGACGTGTCGGCCAAAATTTTTCCGACATCCCGCCCCAGTCCCCCCGCCTTAAATTTCACTCCTAACGTTTTAAAGTTTCGATTTCGCCCGACCCGAAATCCTGCCTCTCTCGCCATCTCCTTCCCAAACCCTAACCCTAAAGTGACAGGTCCGTCCTTTTTTATTTCTGCCTTTTCGGCCCGCTTCCTTTGTTCCCAGTCGGATCGTGTTGCTGTTGGTCACCATGAGAGGGGGCAAATCGAGGGCCGCGGCGTCAAGCAAGGATGACACCAAGTGAGCCTCTTCTCTCCGGCACTGTGTTTCGTTCTGGTCGTTTTCGGTGTCGTTTGTCATCGATTGGGTTGGCGTTTGTAGGGTGGCGGGGAAGAGAAAGGCGGCCGACAATCAGGGTAAGAGGGCAAAGAGAGGGAAGGCTGGCAAGGACCCGAACAAGCCCAAGAGGCCTCCGAGCGCCTTCTTCGTCTTCATGTAAGTTTCAAAGTTTTGTCTTGTTCTTGTTTTGCTGGTTTTCTTTTCTCTTCTTGTTTATTGTTGGATTTATCTTGGGTTTTCTCCGTGCGTCGTTGCGAAGGGAGGAATTTAGAAAAGAATTCCAGGAGAAACACCCTGAGAATAAGAAAGTCTCCGTGGTAAGCTACTGTCCCTTCTCTCTATGTGATGTTATTTTTCGCTCTTGTTTTTTTATTTTTATTTTTATATTTCCTGTGATTAGGTTAGCAAAGCATGTGGGGACAAATGGAAATCCATGTCTGAGGCTGTAAGAGATCTTTCTCTGATGAAAATTTTGATTAAAGAGATCTTTTTTCGTTTTTTTTTATGTTTATGTTATTTATTATTTTTATACAAACAAAATTTTCAGGATAAAGCTCCATACGTAGCAAAGGCAGCCAAGAGAAAGGCTGAGTATGAGAAGATCATTGCTTCATACAACAAGAAGCAGGTATTTCTCTTTTTATTGATGTGGTTTAAAATAATGTATATTTGAGATGTAGGGTGTCTTACCTGTGTCTTGTTCTTTCTGTTTCAGTCTGAGGGTTCTAGTGGTAATGCAAGTCCCGCGGAGGAAGTCGTAGAAGAGGGGTCTAAATCTGAGGTAGATGATGAAGAAGACGGAAATGGAGAGGTTTTGTTCTTTTCCTGTAGTGTTTGGTTTAATTTCTGCGTAAGAAAGAAACCGGTGAAACTTAAGTTGTTGCATCATTATTTTTGGAGTGTTGCAGGAAGAAGAGGATGAAGAGTAGCTCGGAGGAAGTGATCGATTGAGGAAGCAATGGTGGGAAGGGCCCTTTTTCTTCTTGCTTTTTCTCCTTTTTTTTAAAATTATTTTCTTAATGTTCTAGGAATTAGATTAGTATAGCTTTTCCATTGTAAGGAAGAAAAGAAATGGCTCATGTTCCTTTGGATGCTTCCATTTTGCTCATCCTTTTTGTTAAATTACTATCGACAAAGTATGCAGGGGTTTAACTCATCTCGTTTGGCTTTTCTGATCCAATGATTGTGTAGCATGCAATGCTACAACGATTAAGTTGTTGATTAGTTGTGTCGAATAAAACTATGTTTTCTTTTAAAATTAAGGATAATTACATATTATCTTTTATGGTTATTTAGGATTAACATTTAGGCCTTTATATTTAAAAAATAGAATTGGGATTCTTATATTATGAAAGTGAAATGTTTAATTTTAATTATACTCATGTTATTAATTTTGATAAGAATGAAAAGGGTAAAAAAAGTATTTCATAGATCGTAGGCTATGGTTTGATGGTTGGATCTCTTTTGAAACACCACTATTTCATAGATTGCAATAAGCAAAGGTTCTAACTCAGTTAGTCTCTTGTCGATTTCGTCCCTAGCTCTATCGGTAAAATTTGCATTGCAAGGTGGAGCATTGTCACCTCCTCTATCTCCACCTTCTCATCGCAAGTCCTGTTCTCCTTTTCCCTTCCTTTAAATAGCTCATCCGAAGTAACTATAGGGGATAATTATGAATTATACTCTGAAATTAAAATGAATACTTTTACTGTTCAAAATTTGATTTATTATATTAATTTATTTCTTTTGTTTGCTAAATACTCCGTAGAAACAAATCAAAGAAAATTATAGTAGTCAAAGGGAGAAAGAATATCCAATTGCAGATATTGAAAAGAATATCAAGACCACAGCTTCTGGAAAGTTACAGTAGTCAAAGGGAAATGAATTTACTGTAGCTGCTGTTGGAAGAATCAAAGAAAGTATAACGAGGTTCACTTGCAAATGCATGGATCGGAGAAAAAAGGGAAATGAATTTACAACATTTGGCGGTAGAAAGATCAGAGAAATAAAAGAACCGCGCAGGAGTGCACTTCTTAAGAGACCATGCAAACCCACTATCTTAAGTGAACTATCTCATTCCCTTGGTAATATGGAATAAAAATCTCATGCAGGAATTAAAAGTGAAATATAAAGAAATAAAGATCTTGAGAGACCATGCAAACCCACTATTTCATTCCCACTATTATGGAGAAGACCAAAAGCTGTTTCAGTAATGAGACAGACTCGCAAGTGAGAAGTGCATATGACGACACAAGAGTAATGAAAAAATAGAAGACAGACCACCAAAAGTTTCATTTTCTACCCCTTCTTGTTTTTGAGAAAAGATGACCTTGTTACTATCCTCCAAAAATTACAAAGGAAACAAGAACCTTAAGACTAACTTGGAGATAGGCTTCTGCACATAAAGAAAGCCCTTCAGGGTTCCAGAGGTACAATGTTCTGGTTACTCTTATAACAGATACTCAAGCAAGCTACAAAAAAATATGTTCCAGAAGTCTAACAAAAGTTACCGATGCCTGATGCAGGTTTTCTAGGCTTGAAACAGTTTAAAGGCTTAAAAATTTGAACATTTTGCGCTCTTGAGTGCATCAGAAGGTTTGTCTCTTTACAACACATGTAATTAACAAGGAAATGAACCTTAAAAACTAATGTTTCAAGAATAATTAGCTGAGGTTTCTATACTATTAATGGCTTTAAATGGATCCTTGTGAAACTAACACAAGTACCGTCACATAAACACCTTGAACCACTGTTTTGATGACTTTGTCTACATAGGATGTGATTTGATTTGATAAAGGATTCCTATCAAAAAATTCTGTTATGCTACATTTGGACAAAGTGTACAGAAAATGTATGATATGGATGATCCCAAAACCTGATTTGAAGTGAACTTTGATGCTTTGGTACACCAAAATAGTCCCTCATTTGTAGTGGTAGGAGGATTATATCGGATCACAGAGCTAAATGAGCCTGCTATGGTCGATGTGGCTTAAGCATTTCCTTTTATGGTTCTAGAATCATCAAATATTGGCTCAATTTTTCCATTTAACCAGGTTGTGACAAATTTAGTTCATATATGAAGTAACAACCAATGCAGCAGGATCTAATTGTTTTATTAGGTCGTCCATCTTAGTGAGAGCCTCGTGCACTCCGTTTGTATTTTTCACTTGTTGAACAGTTTGAATCTTCTGCGAGTAGAGGCTAAGAGAAAACAAGGAATCGAGGATCTGAAATCATCATTACTTAATTGAAGAGGACAGGGTCTGAAATTAAACTTGTCAGAAAGGCTAAATTTATGTATGCTAATGTAGAATTTCTCTAGAATGCTTCTTGACTGGTTGTGCTGATGAGCTCTATGAACCCACAAATGCCATTTGAAAGTCTAGGCACTAGAGGTGCAGAAGTTTTGAGTCTTGAGTAGGACCTAAAAGATCACCAAGCTTCCATAGGTTTCGTCTAGCATTTAGTCACGAGTGATACAGTTTGTAGGTCTACTGATATGGCACTTGTGACAAATTACTACTCATGTATAATTGAGTTGATAGGGGAAGCAATGGATTATCTTCTTTCATTGGAGAAGATGGGGTGGATTCATCTCGGATGAATATAGGCCACTGGGCTTAACTCGGGTTCTTCCTAATGATATCTCAGATTTATGTCGTAATCAACTTGTGAGGCAATCAATATTTCTTTATCTTTCTGAAAGACGAGTTACCTATGTATTGAAAAGCTCATGAAAGCATGCAGTAGAATTCGAGAAACTTTTACATCAGAATTAAAAGAACAAGATCTACTCTCTTAACTTTTTTTCATTGCATTATCGTTGTATTATAGTGAAAGAAGTTACATGATACATCTTATCGTGCTGAAAGAAAGAATGTCAATACTTAACAACATGCTTCCAACTTTCAAGCGCTACAATCAAAAGCAAAGAAAAACATAGTAAGAAAATGCTCGGTATCAAAAGTGAAGAAGAAACATTGAAAGAGAATGTTCAGTAGTAAACAAGATCTAAATATTGAGTAACTGGAGGGCACACCTTTTCAAGGTTCGAAGGAGAGATCTCGACCAAGTGAACCCTCGAAGCAATCAATCGCCGGGCTTCATATCCGCTGCTGGGACTCGATCAACAGAGCATTAAGCATAATGTGAAAGGCTGCCTCGTATACCACACTGTCGTAGTGCATCCCGTCGGTTGTACAACCCTGTCCGCAGCCCTGGCTCAACAATCCGATATCTAGCAGTAACAACGGCCCCCCGGAGCTTCGCAGGATGGTACTCTCGCTCACCTCGCGGTCATACTCATCCCACACCGTCGCATTCATCCTCACCCTCTTCTCCTCGGTGTTCAGCATCGAGTTGACCAGCGTCGGCAACCCAAGCCAGAACATGTGGGGCGGCTGTGCCGGTGCGGTGGAGAGCAGCGCGACGGCGGCGCGCTTGAGCGAGACGAGGGACTCGCCGTAGAGGGACGAGTTGGTGAAATGCAGCATGTGCCAGAGGCCGGAGCCGAGGATTACCACGTCAGGGCGGGAAGCGGGGCTGCGGCGGCGGAGGCCGCGAAGGAGGGCCGTGAGGTTGGACTCGAAGGGGGCCCAGACGAAGTCGAGGGTGAGGCCGCGGGTGGGGAGGGCGGCATGGTAGTCGGAGTGGCGGCGGAAGAGGTCGGCCTCGACGGGCGGGAGGGCGACGGGGTCGAGGAGGAGGCGGAGGAGGGCAAGGGCGAGAAGCCGAGCCTGGGAGTCGCCGGCGACGAGGATCCAGGAGCCGTTGAGGAGGTCGGAGGCGTCGGCGCGGGGGAGTCGCTGGAAGCCGCAGGCGGCGGCGTGCGGAGGCGGCGCCCACCGCCAGGTCGGTGGAGAGGAAGGGGATTCTTGATGCCAATCGATGTCGTGGAGGAAAGGGAGGCAAGAGGAGAAGGTAGGCGTGGTAATTGGATCGGAGGAAGAGGAGGATGTGGTACTGATGATGGGAGCGGAGGGAGAGAGGGAGGAGAGGAGGAGAAGAGAGAGGGATGGGAGGTGGGGAGCGAGGTGGACGGCAACGGCGAGTGAGATGAAGAGGGCGCCGCTGAAGAAGAGGACCTTGTTGCGGCTAAGGTGCCACCCGGCCATGCCCAGCGGCACGAAGAGGACGATGCACGCCGCTAGGGCGCCCAGCTGCGCCGCGGCCGCGGGGCCCACCATCGACGACGGATCCAAGGCGGCCGCCGCCTCGCCGATCGGGTCCCTCCTTGCCGTCGGATCTTGGCGGAGGGGCGTCAGAGATCGGCAGCGCACTTGATGGACGGTGTACCTGCGCAAGCGAGCGAGCGAGCGAGAGAGAGAGAGATCTGGACGAGACGGAGAAGCGAATCGGGTGGGGAAGAGCGTCACCCAGATGGGAACAGGCAAGCGGAAGCAGGTAGGATTTGGCCCGGCGCAAGTGAGCCGGAGTAGGACGCGTCGAGCTAACCCGGGCCGCCTCGTTGGGATCTCATTTGGGGCTTGGTGAAGTCAGACCCATTTCAATGGACTCCACAACGTACGATCTAAAATAGACAGTTCAGATCGAGACCTATAGAATGATACACTTCTTTTAACCATTGCACCATTTTGGCATCCACCCGTGCGAACTCTCGTACCTACCTGCCTTGCGATTGGGGAATCATGGGACCCACAACAAGGAAAAGTCAAGTACCAAAAACGTTGTTGGCATATATTATTTATAAATTTATCGCAAATCAAAGGCATATATATGGAAGAAAATTTTAATTTATTTTTCCTTCTCGCTTGGTGCTCGGACATCATCATGAACATACATACAACTAAAAGGAAATTGGTAGCATAAAGAGGGTTTTAATTAATATGATATATATAATAGACGATTATTTTCGATAGGATAGGGAATATTTATTCTCCAAATCCTTCTTTTCTGTAAGAAAGGATCGATTTCACTGTCAAATCACTGAGGCTCTAATAATTTGAGGAGTGATTGCTCGATTGTAAATTGTAAATTATTTTATTTACATCTGGAATTATTTGACTTGCTTAAAACCCGAAGAAAAAGGAGTTTTTCTTAAAATCTAATTACAGTTTTCTACGAAATTATGTTAAATTAGTTTTTTCAATGGAAAAATATTCTTTTAAATGGTTTATGTAAATAATGTTTTACCGAAAAAGAATCAGGTTTCCAGAATATCATAAAGTTTGCTAGAAAAGAATTTGTTTTCTAAAAGAACTGATGTAGATTTGAGATAGAGGTGTATCTCTGAAATTATTTCAATAGAGAAAATAAATTTCTACTTCGATGCATCTTCAAGCAATATGTAAACGAAGGATTGCAAAAATAATATTTGACGTTATAATAAGGTTAAAGTAAGAAATTGAAATATGGAAAGAAATCCTTACCGATTAGGATTTGATTATTATATAAATATTTCAAATATTTTGATTGACTCAAGAGATACTATTCTTTATATTTGATTGTCTTGTAGACGAGAATTGAATTTTGTGAACTTTTGATTTATGTTTGCTTGTTGTGATTTCAGAAGAATTTCTCCTTCGTGACAGATTGTAGTGTTGGAGAGGTTAGTGAATTAGCCGAGTGACAAAAAATGAGGAAGAGAAATGTGAGGGTGACAAAGGTAAAGCTTACAATGGAAGTGGCATTCAAGTGAAATCCAATTTACGAAATAATAATATTATCTATAGATGTTATTTATGGATAGTATTAGGAATCATTACCACATAGCATCAAAAGGAAGGTTATAAGCTAATAAATTATAAAATTAATTTTCGATAGAACGAAAAATATATATCGGGTAGAATTGTAACAATTAAATACAGACTATTATCGAAATGATAAAGACATATCTAATGTGATAATGTCGAGCTGAACCCAAAATGATAAAGAAAAATGAATGATAAATAGACATATGAGATATTAAGTGCTTTGACTCATATTAAAGAAATATTTTTTTCTACCTTACAGTGTTGTTTTTTTTAATTATTCTTTATTGTTTGTATAATATCATGGTTAAGGAAATGATTAAAATTAATTTTTTAATCATGTGAATAATTAAACATTTTATAAATTAATTAAATTATTAATTGGTTTATTTCTTAATAAATGATGTGATTCTTAAAAAAATAAAAAGTTTAATTCATATTTTTGTGCGTAAATCATAAGAAATAAATATTATAATTTTATTTTTGTGTGTGAAAATAAATTAAAAATAAAAATTAACTTATTTGTTAACTTTGGAAGAGACTCTGATAGTTTTTCGAAATCAATTTTTATTTATATTTTAAAATATTTAATACTTAATTATTATAAGTTGTATGATGCATAATAATATTTTAATTTTAATTTTTTATAATTAATAAATAGTAATAATTGAATTATGATGTTATAATTATTAATTTAATAATAGTTCTATTTTATTTAATTAGATATAATTATTTTCAAGAAATTATATGTAATTTTTATGATTTAATTAATTTTAAATTTAGAATCATTAATCTAAATTAATTATTTTATGAAAAAAATTTGAGGTTAATTATTATTTTATAATATTTTTTAAAAGAGATTATGTTAAAAAATAAAAAAAAAACAGAGGAAAAAAGAAAATCCTCCACATCGAATGGTTTGGCCAATACGATCAGATCAACAAGCTCAAAAGACTAGCTTGGATAACATATGATATGGCATATTTTGATACCATCGATGTGGCAGCAGACAAAGGACCTCCGAGCTGATACAGAACTACACCTTAGACTCGGACGAGGTGACCACACGACCTTCGCATTGTTCAGGGTCGTACAAGTCGATGCCAGACACCCTAGAGCCATTCTGCAAAATTCGGGACGATGCTGCACGATGTCAACTCGTACGGATCGATTGACGCTCATCTGTAGAGTACAAGCCATCATCTCGAGGAGTCAACGGTCATTAAAGGACCACATATGACCAATCGCCCTATCGCAAGTATAAAAGATAACCCTATGACTAATGAGGAGGGACTTCGAACATAACTCTCTCTTATTCTATCACACTCTAACTTAAATTTTGGAGGGGTTGAGTCGAAAAATTCTCCTCCCGACTTTCACAGAGCCTGACGATGAAGCAGCAGACGACGAGGCCCACAGCTCAACCCGACCCAACGCCCACTTCTTCCACCCTAGCTTTCGCGTGAATAATCTTATACATCTGAGATCAGACTTAACCATATTGATATCACGACCAATGCGTAAAGGTTCACCAACAACATCACGTAACTTTGGAGGGACTCTCCTCGGTCCTCGATGCAGGAAATTAGGAACGACTGGATCAGCATTTCCTTTACCGTTCATACATCCTTCGTAACATGATCCAATAAACAATACATGGATCAAACTTTGTTCTGCAGAAGTTACCGACGTAATTTGTTTGCTTATTTTTAGTATCAGATATTGCTGTGTTAAAGAGCTTCTGAATGGTGTATGCTTGTCTTCTTCATCTCTCTAGTTTCTTTCTCTCACTGCAACTTTTACAGATAGGACGACGAGCAAGTGATGGAGAGGCAGAAGGGGAATTCGAGGAGGTCGAAGATTCACCTGCCCCTTTCTGTAACCACCGCCGGCAGCATGCATGTCCTCGATCTCCGTTAGAAAAGACATGAAACATGCAGAAGGTTCGGGGTGGCGCCCTGCTGGTTCTGCGGAGAGTGCAACGCCACTTGCATTCACCGTATGTTTGTCTTTTGATCTCCAATATAACTTGTTTCGTGTAAGAGAGATAAAAATGGTTTTTAATTTAACTTTTCTATCAGTAACTAATCGCGGTTGCCGTGTCAAAATTTAAGATCCACAAGTTTCTGGTAGTTTACAATTGACTTTTATGACTTGCACATAACATCAGAAAATGGAGGGAGTAGCAGTATGATATGCCAAAGTCAACCTGAGAACGCGTTGAATTCACTGGGTAGATGCTTCGTCTGTTCCAAGTACTTGCAAAACATACTTTGAATTCACTCGACGGAGCTGTCATGACTCAGCTCTTGAGGGATTCGTTGGTTCCCATACTCCATAATATTTTGCGACGAGATGTCATTGGCTAGTCTCCCAAAAATTCAAAGCTTCTAATCTGTCGCATTCTTTGCTCTCAACGAAGAATTAAAAATCGGTTGGAAGAAGATCCATCTGCCGCGGATCAAATCTCATCTTATTATTAGACAGAGACGTGTTGCTGCTGCTTCCATTTTGTTTTTCTTGGTCGACTTTTTCGTTGATTTTATTTCTCCTCGGAGAGTATAATCCCTTCACCTTCTCCTTAAGTTTTCCATCTCCGGGTTATCATCATGCCATCTCCCAGCCAGCTGATCCGGTGTTCGTCGATAGTAGCGGTTGCAGTACTCTGTGTCGTCACGAAGGCCCAGAGCTTAGAGTTCTACTACCCTGACTTTTCTGCGCAGAATTCGACTGATTTCGTCTTCAGCAATAGCTCAAGCATCGGTGATGGTGCTCTGCAAATCACACCAAATTCCGGCAACCCAGCTTACCAATCGGGAAGAGTCTTCTACAAGGAAGCCTTCAAGCTACGCAGGAGCAATGGATCGAGCCTTACATCCATCAACACTTCCTTTGTGTTCAACATCCGCTCGCTATCTCAACCAGGAGGGGAAGGCCTGGCTTTCATCCTCACAAACAACCCAAGGCTTCCGACCAATAGCAGCGGGCAGTGGCTTGGCGTGGTCAACAATCGAACCGATAACATGACCTCGAACCATTTCGTTGCCGTCGAATTCGACACCAGGAAGAGCTACGCCAATGACCTCGACGACAACCACGTCGGCCTCGACGTCAACGGCATCGAATCCGTCTATCAGGTGCCGTTTGGAGCTGTTGGCATAAACATTTCGAGCGGCACCGATGTTGGAGTCAGCATCTCATTTGATGCCGTGTCAAAATCATTTCTACTCTATGCTGCCTTGGTTAATGGCACATCGGCAATCAGTAATACTCTGATGTTTACATGGTCGATCGATCTGTCAGTCTACTTGTCGGAGGATGTCTGGGTGGGATTTTCTGGATCCACTAGCAATTTCACTCAACTGAACCAGATCAAATATTGGTCTTTTAGCTCGCTGGACACCGAAGACATTGGAACGCCGAAGAAGAAGAAGAGTTTGAGATCGATTTGGTTGCTTACCATGCTTCCACTGTTGCCTGCTATTGCCGTTTTCTTATACCGGAAGAAGAAGGAGAAAGGGAGACTATTTAGATACGACAGAAAGATGGTGAGACAAGACATAGAACTAATCCTCGAGGATTGCAGCAAGCGACCGGTTAGATTTCAGCTAAAGGAGCTCAAAGATGCGACGGCCAACTTCGATCCAAGCAGGCAGCTCGGCAAAGGCGGGTTCGGAACTGTCTACAGAGGTTACCTGAAGGACTTCGACATGGAAGCGGCTGTCAAGAGGATCTCAAGGAATTCGCACAGGGGAGAGCGAGAATTCATCGCGGAGGTGACGACCATCAGCCAGCTCTCGCACCGGAACCTCGTGAAACTAATCGGGTGGTGTAACGAGGACAGGGAGCTGCTCCTGGTGTATGAATTCTTGCACAGAGGCAGCTTGGACAGGTATATATTTGGGAAGGAGGGCACAGTAGCAGAGCTCCCTGTTCTTGACTGGGCGACGAGGTACAAGATAATCTCCGGGGTGGCCTCCGCTCTGGACTACCTCCACCACGGAAGCATCAAAAGGGTGCTTCACAGGGACATCAAGGCGAGCAACGTGATGCTGGACGACGAATACAATGCCCGGCTGGGGGACTTCGGCCTGGCGCGAGCCATCGAACGCGACGACAAGTCCCACCATTCCACCACCGCAGTAGCTGGAACTCGAGGTTACATGGCGCCCGAGTGTTACTTCACCGGCCGGGCGAGTCCCGAGACTGATGTGTATGCCTTTGGTGTGTTCGCCATGGAGGTCGCCTGCGGCCGAAGGCCCGGTAACAACTACGTTCGACCCTGCGACGAGGAGGCTGAGTTCGACGGAGGTGGTTCAGATTACATCGTGGACTGGTTGTGGGATCTACATGGAAGTGAGAGGATCTTGGCTGCAGCGGACCCGAGGCTGAGTGAAGAGTACGATGAGGTGCAAATGGAACGCGTGCTGAAGTTGGCGTTGGCATGTTGCCATCCAAACCATCAAAAGAGGCCATCGATGAGGATGGCTCTCCAGGTTCTAGGCGGCGGAGCTCTTCCTCCAAATCCTGCAGCTGAGAAGCCTGCTTTCGTGTGGCCTGTGATGAACACTCAACATGAGATCGAGCTGCCTCTCGTGGGGCTACTTTTTGTAGGAGGGCGCCTGAGTCAGAGTTCCATTAGTGGAAGATGACTCTCTCTGTGATGATTCCGCCATTGTTAAGCTGCCTCACAGTGGCTACATTTCCTTAATTTCCAAGCTTATTACTGGTTATACCGTGTAATGCTTAGCCTGCATGACCCCTGCTCGATATGTTCTAAGCTTACAGTGATCCACATCTGTGATGTTGCAGTTTCTTAGCCAATCTCACCTCACTAGCACTAAAGCGTAAAGGGGAAGGAAAGCAAAAGGGGACGATGACCACTAATTTGGCCCCATGACTTCTGGTCCTTCCTTATATATTGATGTACCATGGAACTTGGATATTTAATTACATGAAGTAATAGAGGAGTCTTAGATGATGTTGTGGTTGTTGGGTCCAAAATGTCTGCCGTCCAAATATTCTCCATGCATGTTGATCTTACACTCAAATGCACCAACCGGTGTTGACAAGTTAAGAACCTTCATGGAGAGTGAGGTGCTACGTTGTATTCCCTCGGGAAATGGTGTTGATGGCTGGCTATTATCAACATGACAGCAAGATGGATGGATACCCAGCTACCACAATTTTTCTCTATCATAATTATTAAAACTCAATTTTATTTTCTTGTAGTTGCAAAATATTTATTTTAATTTTCAAATAAATATATGATCTGCTGTAGACTGCTGATCATATTAGTCAGTGTTGACTGGTCTAACATCATATTTGAGTAGTTGATTGTCACCTTTCAAAGTCAATGGTGTTCATTAATGGAGCCAAACTCACCTGTTTTATTATAAAATACATTAATGGGCCAAATCGATTTCTAAAAACTATCTCCATAATTTACTCTCATTCTTAGTAAACATTAATCTCAGGGTCCAATTTCAAACTGAGTATCACAGGCTTGCGGAGTATACAGAATGTGTGAGAGAGAAGAAAGTATGCGTCATGTCTCCGTCAAGGTAGTTGAGATCCACCCTTCATCAAGGTTCAACCTTCTTCTATGGCTGCCTCATGATCCTCTTGGAAAGTGACGGGTTCACACATAATGGTTGTGGTCCGTCAATGCTCGTCTCGAGAGGAAAGTTGTGCTTCTCTTCCTTGCTCGGAAAGTGCTGCCGTGGGGTACAACCACCTACCACAGGAGATCATGCTGATGATGATGATAGTAGGAAGCTGTTGACGTTACACGTAATATCATTTAACGTGTTTAGCGTTAATGATTAAGCCCACGTAAATGATATTACCTATCTAAAATCCCAAACTATTGATCATATTTGACTCGATTAATCTGATCGAGCAGTGCACCTGAGGATGATTTAAAATTATCATCTTAGGTATGTGACAGTGCTTGACTTTGTCCTTGATGGTTTCCCCAGCATGACTATCCAACCTAAGTAAAACGAAAAGAGTAGGAAGGAGTCAATTACTTACTACTCTGCATAGATCGTCTGATGATACCATTAAGATCATGATTCCCATAAAAAATTTCTCGAGAGGATCTTTTTCCTTGGGCATTTAAAGTGCTCCTGTTCATCTTACTTATGGTCTCTCACTACTGGTGCAGTTGACTTTCACGGATTTTAATGCCTTTTGAACCACCTCAACACTGACCTCTATCCATTTTGGTTTGGTCAACGCTTCGATGCACCTTTAAATAATAGTAGCAACAGTCATTTTTCCCAAATTACGGTATCACTAATCAAGATATATTAAGATTGAGACTAAGATTTAGATCATGCATAATAATAGTCTTCCATGGAAAGCTTGAAACTTATCCATTTAATTGTCTTCCCTGGAACTATTAGACCATGTACTTGATGCTTGCACATATTTTCGCATATGAAGATTTGCGCGTCAATTCCGTCGTCTCGCGGAACCAGAGGAGGATGAGTTGTGCAAGAGGTGGCCGCGGCACGAGAATCCGCCGCCCACGAGCACAAGATCGCTTGGACCAATGACAAGAAGAGGAATGATCTCTTTTTCCTCACGCGCAGTGAAGCCTCCAAAAGAAACCCAAACGATCCGAACCGTCGATCTCAGGGAATATGGGCTCTACCACCCATCACTGCGTGTGTCTTTTGGTGGGTATCTGGACGCTCTCTTTTCTGCCCTTCAAACCGCGTCATCTTCTCCGGAGAAGTTCCTATTCCCACGCCGATAAGACACGCGAGTGGATTACGCGATCAGTTGCAATGGCAGCAAAGGACAGCGGAGGAAAAGTCATCTTGTAATGCCGACGTGACCAACCTTCCTCTTCTATGATTGGCCGGATAAAAGGTGGGACCCGCAAGTAGCACGTCGGCTATTGAGAGAGGTTCGGATGGTGGAGACAGCGAAAAAAGGTTTCTTTTCACAAGTGACACGGGAGGTAAGCTCCTCGAATGAGAATATGGGTAAGGATTGCGCGTGGGAAGCTCTTTATCTGTCTTTTACTTGCATTTAGTTGGATTTTTTTTTTTTTAGAGGGAAGCAGAGTCGGTCAGCACCTTCTTCCTTCCCTCGTTCTTCGCCCGCCTCACTTCGTCGTCTTCCCCTTCTCGCGTCCGTGTTGTTCTTGTCTGATAACGATCTCATCGCTTCCCAGCTTACGATCAGCTCCGGTTCTGCTCCAATTTCTGCGATCCGCTCCCGAAATCGGCGGAGAGAAAAAGGAGGAAGAGCCAAAGAAAACATCGATGCGACCTCTTCACCTCGTTTGATGGGCAATACCTGCCGAGGGTTTTTCGGTAGCAGACACCACCACCCCACCCACCCAAAGCCGTCATCTAACCGCCGCTCCTGCTCCTCTACCAGTTCCTCGTCCGACGACGACGACACCCCCAAGCCCGCCCCCCCCGCCGCCTCGGTCACCGCCGTCGCTGTCGTCATGAGGCGGGGCGTCGACCCCGCCGGCGCCGGCGCCAGCTGTCACGTCCTCGGGCACCCCACCCCCAACATCCGCGACCTCTATGCCCTTGGGCGCAAGCTCGGGCAGGGCCAGTTCGGCACCACCTACCTCTGCACCGAGCTCGCCACCGGCGCCGAGTACGCCTGCAAGTCCATCACCAAGCGGAAGCTCATCTCTAAGGAGGACGTGGAGGACGTGCGGCGGGAGATCCAGATCCTGCACCACCTCTCTGGCCACAAGAACATCGTCACCATCAAGGGCGCCTACGAGGACTCCCTCTGCGTGCACATCGTCATGGAACTGTGCGGCGGCGGCGAGCTCTTCGACCGGATCATCGAGCGCGGGCACTACAGCGAGCGCAAGGCCGCCGAGCTGATCAGGATCATCGTTGGGGTTGTCGAGGCTTGCCATTCTTTAGGGGTCATGCATAGGGATCTCAAGCCCGAGAATTTCTTACTGGTCAATAAGGAGGATGATTCGTCTCTCAAACTCATCGATTTTGGCCTCTCCGTGTTCTTCAAGCCAGGTGAGAATGACAAGTTATGTTGGTTTGCTGTGTTCCCTTTTCATGGTATGCTGCATGAACTACCTCTTGCGTGATTGTTTGGATATATCTGTTTTCTCAACTTATGCCAACCATTGTTCTTTGCTGCATCCTGCAATCTAAGAGCTTGTATTAATTAATTAAGGATTAAATAGTTGACTGATCAAAGATGTTATTGAAGCAAAGAGTTCAGTCTTTTTAGTAGTTTCAATTATTGGTTCTATTTGGCTTGCCGTGTTCCCTTTTCATGGTATGCTGCATGGACTACCTCTTGTGTGATTCTTTGAATTTCTGTTTTCTCAATTTATGCCAACCATTGTTCTTTGCTGCATCCTACAATCTAAGAGCTTGTAGTAGCATTTACTAAATAAGGATTCAGTAGTTGACTGATCAAAGATTTTATTGAAACAAAGAGTTCATTCTTTTTAGTGTCTCAAGTTTTTTTATATTAGTGCAGATTATTTATGCCTTTGTTGGAATCTTTCTTCATATATTTGCCTTGCAGAAGTTAAAAACTGCAGTAAAAAAAGTTGGGTTACTACTTCTGGCTCTTAATGTGAGTGGATGATGCCCAATTTTGATCTTACTGCAGCAACAGTGTCATTTGTGGGTTGTCTATTGCTACTTCTGAGCAAGACTTTGCTCAAACTTGTATTGGTGAAATCAATGCTCTCTAGCTGCAACACATTGGAAGAATCAATTATAATTATTTTGTAACTGGTCGACAGAGAATTTTTTTGGGGATTCTTAGGGCAAATGACTGAAAAAAGTAGTAAAGATTTTCAGGCACTAGGAAAAGCAACTATTGTGTTTGCTTTTCTAATGTTTGTCAAAATTGTGTCATTCTTGTAATTACCTCGACTCTTGACTGGCATCCATGTATCCATAAAGATAAGTCCAATTTTCCTTCATTCATCTGAGGCAGCAGAGGAGATTTTTCTGACGTTACTGATTATTTGTCAATCCTTTTATTTGCTTGCTTAATAATATGCGTGCTTCGTATTTTGTCTTGAATACACTATAATGAATAAAAGCAAAGAGAGAAGATGGTAAAATTTAACAGAGGCCCAGGAAGTAAAATATCCCTCATTTTATAGTAAATAAATCAGTGGGTGGTTTGCTATGGCACCAAAAGAAAAACAAAATTGTAAACAAACTTGAGAAAAGGTGAATTCCACACTGTCAGGCTTGTGTTCCATACTAGATGCAAATAAAACTCAGAGTTTGTTAAATCATGACGGTGAAGTGATAGATTACAGGTTTTTTATTTCTTCCTTTATGATATCTATTTGTATAGCAGAGATCAATAGGGTTAAAAAGATGAAATAAAAGTACCACTCAGTTCTCCATTTTCAGATTTATAACAATATAACAAGTATTCTTTTCTTTTCTCCTTTTTAATTAGATGCAATGACATTGACTTCCTTGGAGCAATTATTAAATCTTACCAAATGATGAAAATGCACAGACTAAGAACTTGAAGCCTCTCAAACATAAGATCTTCCATATCTGTGTAGTATTTTTTGCTTTATGTCCTTATCTCTTCTTATTATCTACTTGTGATTCTCTTGGTTAGTGATCTCCTGATTAAATATAGGGCGACCCAATTATGAGAATCCTGGAAATGGGGATTCGGGGAGGTTCAAATATATGCAGCCATATCCCTAAGTGAGAGAGACTGTTCCCAATAATTGAATCCTTGACACCCAGGTCCCTTGATGCGACATGGCCATTCTTATCTGGAGTTTCACTAACTAAGATCCTTTGCATCTCCAGGTCAGATATTCACAGATGTGGTTGGAAGCCCATACTACGTTGCTCCTGAAGTACTGTGCAAACAATATGGACCTGAAGCAGATGTCTGGACTGCGGGTGTCATACTCTACATATTGTTAAGTGGTGTGCCACCCTTTTGGGCTGGTATGACTCGTGTTCTCATGCTTATGTAATCTCATGATTATCAAATCACTCATTCTGAATCTTCTTTCTTCAGAAACACAGCAAGGAATATTTGATGCTGTTCTGAAGGGAGTCATTGATTTTGACTCAGATCCATGGCCTCTGATTTCTGACAGTGCTAAAGATCTAATAAGGAAAATGTTATGCTCTCCTCCTTCGGCACGTTTAACAGCTCATCAAGTCCTCTGTGAGTTACTGAGATTCATGATTATCTATATATCTGAATTGCTGATTATTTGTCTGATTTTATTGACATTTTAGATATGTTTTCTGGTGCACACCCTTATATGCACATGCTGTCTTTATGCAACTTGACACTTCTTTATAAAAAATTACAAATGGTTTTCCTGTAGGCTTGTATATATGGAAACAAGGATGTTAATGATATGCACTAATTTCTGCTAATGGCTTTGCTAAGTAAGAGCAATATACATAAAGATAAGGTGGAATAGTGTGAGGTCATGGTTTTTAAGAGAGACTTGGATGTGCAAAAGAGAGGAGTTATTTTGTTCCTTTATTTCATGTTCTGATATCTGCATGGGTCAATCCTGTTAACATCAAGGTCACAGTTCTGATCAACTTTGAGCATTGTCAAAATCTCAAGAGCAAAATTTAATGTGGTATGAGAGATTATATGCTGAACACTTTAGTAGCCGGCAAGATGTAGATTTTACTGTCTGACATATTGTACCATTCACCTTGTTTCCAGCTCATCCCTGGATTCGTGAGCAGGGAGTTGCTTCTGATCGAGCTCTAAACCCAGCTGTCCTCTCTCGTCTCAAACAATTTTCAGCTATGAATAAGTTAAAGAAGATGGCTTTGCGGGTCAGTAAATCTATGAACTTAAACAACCTTTGCAGAATTATCAGGACTGATATTTGTTTGTAATGCTCAAGTTGTAAGAGATGTTATTACTACACAAATGAACACATAAATTTGTCTTCACCATGATGTGATCTTTTTATGTGCATTTTTTTTGTTTTTCTTGTCTATAATGGTGTTTTTATTGAACATCTGCTCTATATCCTATCAGGTTATAGCTGAAAGCCTTTCAGAAGAGGAGATTGCTGGATTAAGAGAAATGTTCACAGCAATGGACACAGACAACAGTGGTGCAATTACATTTGATGAGCTCAAAGCAGGATTGAGACGATATGGTTCTACATTGAAGGACACAGAGATCCGTGATCTTATGGAAGCTGTAAGTTTATCAAACTTTGAAAGTGGCAGATGTCTTTGTTGAGCCTTTATTTGACAAAGGGCATGATCTAATATGATTAGCAAGTTTCTTTGTGTTAAATTACTTTTCATAACTTTGTGATATCAACTTACTCTTGATTTTTATGTCGCCAAAATTACTTTTTTGATATGCATCTGAATGATTAGTGTTAAAAACCAATGAGTTATTTTGCCACTGAGAAACGGTTTCAAGTACAATCATGAAATGGTTTCCAAATCTCCATTAAGGACCTACATAATACAACAGGAGCTTGAGCTCAGAGCAAACATACTCACACCTCAGAATATACTGCTTGATCAATTTTTTTAATAACCTAATTCAGGATTATGTGGTTTTTTTAACTGCGACCTGTCATATGCTTATTTTTGCAAAACTTCTATTCTCCTACGGCAATTTGGTTGCACAAGAAAATCTTTTCTGTCATGCAGCAACAGATCTAATGCCATAAGTTGTGTTTGACTTGATATAAACTAGCCATGTTAAGTGTGAATTTTATCTATCAATTGTTCTTAGCTTCTACTTTCTTTCACATTTTTAGATTAAGATTGTACTGAACCCTAATATATATGAGCTTAACTTTTAAAAAATCTATCTTGGGTCTGAAAAAGATAACTACGAAGGGTACATGTTGCTACAGATGGAATCTCTCTCCAGGTCTAAGACTTTGCACAAATCTCATTTCATAGGCACTGAGTATAACAACTCTCACAATTTATTTATTAAATGTCTTCGTTATTTCTTCTTGATCATGGAAATTTAATGCAATTCATCAAGATAATAATTTTAGTGCGAAAAATGAAATACTTGCTTGCTTAATTTTGACACTCCAAATTATATGCAGGCTGATGTGGACAACAGTGGTACCATTGATTATGGTGAATTTATTGCGGCAACAATACATCTCAACAAGCTGGAGCGTGAAGAACATTTAGTCGCAGCCTTCTCATATTTTGACAAAGATGGAAGTGGTTATATTACTGTTGATGAGCTTCAACAAGCTTGCAAAGAGCATAACATGACCGATGTTATTCTTGAAGATATTATTAAAGAAGCAGATCAAGATAATGTAAGTAATTTCTTGTATGGAAATATGGTAGCTTTAGTTTCCTTTAGTAGGAATGTTTCACATATTGATGTGTCCAGAAGTAAATAAAACAAGAACATGTTCTAAGGTTTGGTAGAATTTAAAATGAATAGAACCTCGGAAGATGCATTATAACTATAAGTACAAATAATTATGATAATAACAACAAAAGCAATAAGCCATGACGTCCCTACTTTTATAATAAGTTAGATACTAAGGTTGGGAAAAAGACTTCTACCAGTTCGCCAGAGCTAAAAGAAGGATTGGAGATTGTCATGTGTCCCTTGGATTAAAATGAAAGTTTATAAGATAGTTATAAGATCAATAATACTTAAGAGGTGGAATGTTGAGCAATTAGAGACAATACGTTAAGAATATTAATGTTGTGAACACGAAGAGTCGAGATTGACATGTGGGGCTACTAGAAAAGATTGAACATTTATATTCATGTATGGTTAGATGTAATTTCACTAGAAAGAAAAGGTGAGGAAAAACTGTTGGAATGTTATGTGCATTTTCTAAGGAGATCTGTAAACGTACTTGTTAGATAAGATAATTGGGATTACTAGGGTGAGAAAAGGTTTTATTAGAAACAATAAATTTATATTTGATTTCTTTTAGTTTGACTAGTAATATTTCTATAAATAAAGCTCTAAGTGGGAATAAGATTCATGTAGTTGATCTCGGATATTTGGCACATTATGGCTTGTAGAAGCAAAAGAAGTGACTAGATTTGCTTTATTGTGGTATCTAGTATCTACTTGTACATCGACCAGACATGAGAATATTTTTTCTTTGTTTTGTGTTATGGCAAAGACTTCCTGCAATTTTGAAGCTTGATATTCTAAATGTTTTGTGTTAACCAAGGTCTAGACTGTAGACTACTACAAGAATATGGAAAAGATAACAAGAATTTGTGATAAATGATGGGTGTTTTTTTGGTTTATTAATATCAATTACATGCTAAACAATATCTCTAGTCAGATATCCATATCATCTGTAACCAAAAGTTCCAACATTTTAGAAAGACAAACTTAATGTATTCATGAACTAGCCAAGTATCCCAAAATAAACCAGTCTATTTAATAACTATTTAAAAATTAAATAGCTAGAAAATTTACTTGATACATATTCAATAAGTAGTATGTATGATATTTAATACATACACAATGCACGATGTACATCATGCAAATTCAATTATCCATGTTTCACAGATTTCCAATAATTCAAAGTTACTTGGATGTCTTACAATTCAAAGTATGATATTGCATAATATGGTTTTGAAGCTTGATCATTTTTCAAAATCCTAACTATTATGTCTTTGTTATATTTCAGGATGGTCGTATTGACTACGGTGAGTTCGTTGCTATGATGCGAAGGGGCACAATGGGATTGGGTAGATGGACGATGAGAAATACCTTAAACATAAGCATGAGGGATGGTGGTTTTTAATAATTGAATATGTGTAGGTTGTGTTCAGATACTTGTTATCTAATTGTTACCCCTCCTATGTTATCTTTATCTGGGTTATCAAATATAAGTGAAAAAAAAATGACTGCAGAATTCAGTAGTTATAATGATGTCAGATTTAGTATGATGTTCAAAATGGGATATCTGAATTTCAAACCCTAGAGCTAAATATCCTTTTTCATGACAAGTCAACCACACCTTACCATCGTGTCTAAGATGGATTGAGGAAATGGTCTGGGGGATCTTAAGCACCACTTCTGTTTTTTAGCTATTCTTCTTTTTGTTAGTGGGAAAGATTTGCTGCATCGGTGTCATTACTACTCAATATGGCTTACCAGCATTCTCAGGAACATAATAAAAGGAATCGATCCTATAGTCATGCACAGATACTTTTCTGCATCTATCTGCTATTCTTTGAATGATTTTGCACATTCGGGCAGCATCCTTTGTTTGTCCCTTTTCTATATATTTTTTTGTATGTGCCTATATGGTTTCACTCTTGAACTGTAGAATCCAATGGTTTATCTTCAGCCCATAAGATCTCCTTTTCATCATTCATGTTACTTCACCATGAAGCTTGGTTTTGCTGCTTCAGTCGAGAGATGGTTCCTGGTTTCATAGATCACGACCTCTGCATTTGCCAATTATCATTACTAAAATTTGTTAACTGGCAAACACTCCTGTTGTATGCATTGTTTCCTGTGCTCTGTTGACTTGTTCATGGACATCTGTTTCCATTGGTGTTGACATGGACAAACTCTGGGAGACTACTGTCATTAATTAATGTTCTCTAATACTGCTATCTTAAAGATTTCCAAGTCCATGCTCATCTGCAGTTTGAGCATTTGTTTTGTGTAACCTCAAAAATAACTATACTTCTTCTTGCTCCAAGTGACAAGTTGACCATATACAATCCACATCGTTCAATGATCATTGTTTATGATAATGAAGAAAATGTTGGACGAGAGATTCTTGGCCAGACAAGGATACATACACACAGGTACATATTCTTAGTTGGTTTCACTCTTACTATTCTCCAATACGACATGATACTTAGATTGTCACCAAATATTAATTATAACATATTTCTTTGGTATATAGTAATAAACCAAAACACTGAATTGTGAAAACACTCATTCAGGCGTCGCCATGGAAGTGGTTTAAAATATGTAACTTCATATTCCAGTGCTTGTAAATATGAAGCACATCAGCTCATGGTATTGAAGAGCATAAGATGAGTTATACTGTGTACTAAATATGCTTATGTTTAAATACATGTATATGTTCACATGTATCCTAATGTGGAGGGAAAGATTATATACTGTCAACAAAAACCATGTTCATATTTTTTATTTTATTTTATGTAATTTTTTTTATTTCTAAGTAATTAATAATTACTTATGATTAAATGGACGCGCCTCGTCCCATCGTCACCTCGTCACTTCGCAGTCGTCGGCAACTTGATTGATTGCTTTATGATTCGGGCAACTATTTTTTCCCTCTCGTTTTGGGTATGTTAGAGTCGCGGAAGAAACCATCGATCTCAAGCTTGAGCTTCACTGCCTTTGCCACCGTGGCATAGGGCTAGGGTTCTCAGCGTCGGCTGCGGATCGACGGGGAAGGGAGATGGTGCGACGAGCTGCGGCGCTGGCGCGTCATCAGTGGAGACGCGCCAGCGCCGCAGCTCCTCCAACGTTGGCAAGCGAACCCTGCTCTCCCGTCAGTACCATCCGATCCTGCCTCTCTGGGCTTTTTTGTAACCATATGTATATCTTCTTTTGTTGTTGTGAATTGTCCACGTTCGATCTTTGTCCCAGTTTATGTAATTGATCATAAAATGTTCTTTTCTTGCTTCATTTCCTTCCGTCACTACGAAAATTGTGGTGAAATTTCTCGTCTTTTTGGTTATCCGAAAAGCCGAGGTAGAATTGTTTAGATAAATGTAAATGATTTGCACCTTATACACAAGCTTCCATCTTTGGAAATCTTGATTGTGCCTCTGCGAGTTATGATAGTACATGGAAGGTTCGATTACTGAAAATAATACATATTAATTTAGAATAAAATAGTTAATGTCTCAGTATGTCTGCGATTCTGTCTCATCATAATTAGATCATGATTGCTTTGACAGATAAATAAGTGGAGTATTTTTATGGGTTTTCATAGAGGGAATGACTTCATGATCAACTCATTCTGTGAAATAACAGAATGTCCATGTGACCATGTCTTTACTGTTTAAGTTTTTGTTTTGTATTTTTGAGATGGAAGACTGTCCTCATGTTTCATATCAAGATAGTTTGCTTCACCTCAGTGTATATTAGTCTTTCAGTGTGAGAAAGTATACTTTATGTTAAGAATTTAAATCTTGATCCAATACTGGTTTTAGTGACTGGTCAAACCGGTATGGTTTCAGTACATCAGGCAGTATACCGACCGGTACCACCTTGTATATAAGGTGTTAAGAATTTATACTTTGTATGGCTTTCCATATTGTTAATTCTCCTGGTGCTTTTCAACAATATTGAAGTCCCAAAGTTCCATATTACCATGTGAAGTTTCAAATGAATTTACATGTCATTGTGATTGATTATTTACTTCAAAGGTTGTAAAGTAGCTTGAGGGATTCGATTATTTTCTCATCTTTCTTGTGTCATAGTGGGTGATGTTTTCATTGACTGCAGGACTGCTTTTGATTGATTTTCCAGACACATCCGACCTATCAACAGGGATCCTTTGTCTAGGGTATGCAATATGCATGCCATTGGCAACCTATGCCACTTTGTTGTCTTCACATGAAATTGTTGATGGTAATATGTTCATTTGGTGCATACTTTACTTTTTATGGTTTGATTATTTTGCCAGGGTGGGCAATTGGAAAATATTACACTGCTGATCTCTCTATATGGACAGCTCATCTAGATGAACAGTTCTCAATTAGATCAATGCCTATTTATAAGCAGTTGGATGCCTTAGCGATGGTTTTTGACATGAGTGATGTTCGAAACTCTCCCTATGCTTTTTTATTCTTCTGATCTGGTTTGTCTTTACTTTTATGGTCTTGAATAGATTGTTATCTGAACTTAGACTATGTTTTTGACCTACCGTAGTCTTTTTTTATGCATGTTCGAATTGTGAATATAATTTTTACAAATTAGTGTAAAGCATGCATGAATTTTACTGTAAGTGATTTTTTTCTTCTCCTCTTGTTTAGTCTGCAGGAATATTCTTTTACTGCCCTCCAAGGGTGGGTTGCAAAAACTGATATTACAAATTTGGAATAATACTGTGCATAGGAAAAAAAACAGATCTTGTGACTGGTCACTGTGCCCATACAGAGTATAGAACACATTGCGGAAACTTTGAAAGTCCAATGGTGATCCAGACCCAGAGTATATGAATTACAGGATTGATGAGACTGAAGCTTGTAGCTTACTGGGGCATGAAAAAAAACCATCTCTGGAAATTAGAAAGTCATATCTAGACTGGTGCATCAAGCATACTATATAATATATAGAATCTTGTGCCTTGATGATAAATGTAAATTTCCCTCCTTTCCTTCTTAAACTGAAGTATTTTCTATGTTAATGTTTTTTCGTGTTTATCCCATATTTAGCTTAATAATTTGTTGTACTTAGCTGTTGCATATCATTCACTACAGTTGATATTGAAGTTGACATTTTTTTTTTCTCTGCAGCTTTAGTTTGATGCTGTTTATTTTCTGTATCTACTTGTGGTTAGAAATCATAATTAACAAGAGAGGTGCAAATTTGCAGGGTGAACCTCACTTGTACAAGAGAAATGCAAATTCTACGAACTCATTTCTGATGCCCTCATGTGCCTCTTTTTCAGATTTTTCATCTGTAATTATATCAAGCTATGAGATATGGATTCTGAATCGTAGGATTAGCTATGGAACATTTTTAGCACTTCAACTTCCTTTATGATTTAAGAGAATATGTTACTAATCTGATTGACCTAAACATTTCATAAGTTTTTCCTTCAAACATCTAAAAGCAAGGTTTAACTGGTTTCTACCTTGTGCTTGTTTATGTCTGTAACATTTCTGTCACATTAAATAGTAATCTGGTAATAGTGTCTTACAATGTGTCCATTGACAGGTCTTTTGGTTGATGGTGATATCCAAGGGATAGATCGGCTGTATGGAGCTCTTTCTGCTCATATGTGGCCTGGAATGATACTGAAATCTGGAAATAAGACAACAAATCCCTCCCTAGTTGAGAAAGGAGGTGAAAGACCTAACCTCATGATTATTTATATCTGGTACAACTTGTTCTAACCTAAATCTTAAATGCTATTGTCATTTGCTATTAGATTCGTTGTAGTCATATCGAAGGCTGATTCTGAAGCAGATTGCTATTCAGCTTTCATATATTTATTCCTTATTCTTTTATCTCCTACCTGTCATTCTTGAATTGAACCCTTCCTGTTCGTCAGCTGGGATGTTTCTGACCGTTTCAGCATATTTTTTTCTTCTAAGAACTAATTTAAATTCTTTGTTTTTTGTTTTTGTTTCCTTGCCTATGACAGAGTTCACAGATGATGAGATCAAATATGAGTCTTTATCTCATGGTTTTTGACAAGGAGTGGGGGATATATATTGATGCAGTTATAACAAGAATACTGAATGAACCAGAGGCCAAGATCAATAAACACCCATAACATGAAATATCTGATATTCATGGAGCAAAAATTGAAACTTCATCAGCCATTCCTCTATGTGGTGTATCTAGTGCTTTTCTGAGTAATCTTGCATCATAAATGGGAATTACAGATGAACCTGTTACAGGAAACAACATAGTTGAAAACCGAGAGAAGAATGAGGGAGAACATCTATAGAACAAAAACCGAGATCAAATTTTGAGCAAGAGGAGCTTGAATCTGATGTCGTCAACACCACCAAGTTGGATGAGGACGCATATGATGGTCTGGCTGATCTGCAAAGGCTAACGTATGAGATTGGTAACATTCACGACAATTTTAGGCTGATGCCTGATTCTCAAAGGAGAGAAATGGATCCAAAGCTAGCCATGAAGACGGCTGCCACGTTTGGAGGATGAAGATAATGATAAAGATGGCTTGTGGTGTTGCGGGAGATCCTAAATGTTGATGTTCTCATGATGTTTTTCCGATAGGCTGTAAATGTGGATGATCTTTGGTTTTCAAGACAACTAACACGAGATCAAAACTTATGGTGTTGAGGCTACCTACAGCAGCTGATACGCCAGGCACCTTCCGGTGATTAGTTTGTGAAGAGGTCTTATTAAAGCTTGTCGATATCTCATTCGAGTTGTTTGGTTCCTTGTAAGTAGATGATGCATTATGTCTTAAATCTTCTTCACAAGTGTATTCAGCATTATACGTTATCGTAATGTGGAATAAGCAGCTTAAGCAAGTTTCTGTCGAGATAATAACATGATGGAAGCTACAAACATTATTACATCACGGAAGTTTAGAATCCTTTGTTGCCCTTTTTACAATGGTTTGTAAGGAGTAAATAAAGCTCATTACATATCTTCACCACGATTCATGTAAAGTAAAGCTTTTAGCAACCTGTCGAATGAACCGAGTAAATCCTTACAAGGAAACAATGGCCATTAAAAGGAAACAATGGCCAAAGAAGGGAGAAGAGTCACAAGCGATATATGTATCAGGCAACCTGTTTAAGTTTCACAGATAGACATGGAGAGATCCAGATTAACTCTGTCACCACCAGAGTAGCTCGAGTGGTCAGTGAAGTCTCTGCTGGAGGAAGAAGAGCATGCACAAATGGCTCCACTGTTCAACGATAAGGACAACGACAGAGAGCAATCGTTAGCTTCCTCGCTCTCCACATACTCATTGTTATGTGATGGTGGTTTGCATGACAGGCATCCATTCCCACAGATCTGTTTGGTGATGAACTTGTTTGCAGGCATGAGATAATGATCATTTCTTATGGTGGCCTGAGAAGATTAAGATGAAATTATATCATCTGAATCAGTGCAACTCTGAAGTAGTTGAAGGAGACCAACACATCACGATAGTTTGCTTAATATAAAGAGGAAAATTAAAGCAAATGCACGAGAGAGAGAGAGAGAGATTTATGTCAATACCACATTTTGGTTGTTCAAAGGAAACATTTATAGAACCTCGTCCAAAGAGATCGATATAGTTCAGTCAAAGTATTCATCTCTACCTGTTTGCCTACGGTTTATTGAATCACAGACTTATGGATGTGCGGAAAAGCTAAATAATGCAAGAATTAAGTGGTTTAGCTTCCAAATCTCTAGACCGAGAACGAGGTCAGATGAATCATGCAAGTTCCATATGCAGCCCTGTACACATGGCACATGATGAAGTAGACAACCAAAGGAGCAGTAGAGCTAAAGACAGTGGAAAAGGAGGAAAAACATGCTTTATATAGACAAGAAGATCAGCAGGTGAATGCAGGTTCTACCTCACTATTTTGTTCTACCTTAGAAGGATCACATCCGTCCACCATGTATCTGACAGCTGTAAGCTTGGAGAAGTGGTTCTCAGCCCGGGCAGTTTCTCTTTGCCAGCTGAGACCTTCCTTTGCTCCCCTCTCCACAGTTAAGTCTTGCATGTAATGATCAACCGAGTACGGGGTCGTATCCACAGTCAAGTCTTGCACACCTTTCGAACTGGTTTGTGTATCCAATCTAATCCTATTGATACAGTAAACAAAAGGAATGGGGAAAGGATTAGCAAAAGGTGAGGTAGGAGTCTGTTGAGAAGAAACTTGGATGTTGTCTCTATATGTTGCTAACATGACTGATAGCAAGTGGAGATGAAGCTGGCTGTAAGTTGCCAACCGTTTTAAAGGGGAAAGAGGAGAGTACAGAAGGTGCGACTGGAACTCCTCGGTGGGGACTGAAGCGTGGCAAGGGCCAAGACCATGTTGCTCACCAGCAACTTTGTCATTGCCTGGGTTTGAGTGCTTTCTTTCATGCAAATCTGATGAGAGATAAGATAAAGCATTAGAGTTTCCTCGATTGAGATCATATCTTCCCTTCATTTGAAAGAACTAGCAGTCATCATGATGAAACTTACAGAGTTAAGAGGCAAAAGATTGAAAATATGCAGACACCATGAATGAAAAAAGTGACATGCACGGTTGCAGCCACAATTAACTTTCTGTCAGCAGAGAAGGAAAACCAGAAGCAAATGGAATAATATGGGGTAGGAAAAGGATTGCTCTTTGTTCTATGCAATAGTCTTTCTTCATGACAATGAAGTGCTTAGATGCTGCATCAACTTTCTGTGGAGAACATGCAGACAACTGCACTAATGTCCTCATGAGTAGCATAATGGGTTGAAAGAAACTTAGATGGCAGCTTCATGATTGAAGAAAAAGAAAGCATGTAAACACAGATACGAATTGAAGAGAACCATTTCCACACCTTGCTTGCCTCCTTCGTTCCTCGTGCTTCTGTACATCTGATTGAAACCACACCATCACTTAAACAGTGGCATGGAGAAAACGAAACAAGTAATAGGTAACCACAGGAAACAGTAGAAGCAGGGAAACCTGGAGATGACTCTTAACATGGGATATAGTTAGTCCTCCAACATCCATCAACTGGAGCACAAGCTTAGGTGTTGCCTCTGCTTGCGGTATCAGAAAGCAAACAATGAGATAACGCAATAAGTAACACAAACTCAACCTCATAGAAGCCAATCAACTATGGTTTTGATATGGGAAATGGATATGGAGAGAAGCAGATTCATACTCTCTTGGCCACCGAGCCTTTGTATGGCATGAACAAAGCAGTGGTGCAGTTCAGGCGTCCATCTCATCCGAGGAACTTTAGATCGAATGTATTGTCTCACAGCTCCATTCCTTCCACAGTTCCCCATCTCCCTTCCAGCAGCTATAGCCTTTTATTCAGCACCAACAATCTCTCTCTTAACTAGCTGAGAGATTCTAGAGATAAAACTCCTGTCAAGCTGCATTGTACCACAAAACTCAAACATTGCTCTTTCTCTAGTGTCTGATGTAAAGGCCTTCACCTTTTAGCTGCTTCAGCTACATGGGACCTCTAAATATCATTCGGACAGTCTTGGATCAACGAAACACTCGATGATGTGGGAAGCCAATCACTAGAACAATTCATCACAAAGAGGACGCAATCACTGAAGTGAAAGAAGATGGTATGATGAAAGATCGAGAGAGAGTGAGAACGGACAAAAGCGTCTCGCTGGCCTTTCTCTGATCCATTTCAATATTCCTCTACCTGTACAGGTAGGAATTCGCACATCATCACCTTCTCCTAATTATTACAGTCGTCCACAGCTTTTTGACTCTCCAGAGAGTGGAGAGCGACACCGGAGCAAAAGGTATATAGAAAAGAGCACAAGAAAACAGCTACAGAATCTCTGAGCACAGGATTTCTTCATCGCACTCCAGCCTTACTTTTGTAGTCTTTTCCGAGCTGCCTTCCCACATCAAAAACTCTATTTTCTCCCGTTCTTTGTGAATATACTTTGATATGTTCCAGCATTAAGATGAATGGGTACATCTCTTGGCATTCCTCGGCAATATTTTCTCTTTCTTTCTTCCATGCCAAACGTGTAGTCTTACGAGAGAAGTAAGCACGATATGGACAGTCTTCAGCTGGTGTAGACAAACAGTCACCATGCATGGTGTTTTCTTAGTGGGAGTTAGGCCTTTCTCAAATCAATCAGCATCACTGCCAACCCTTTGAAGTAGGACAAAGATCATAGAACTAAGACAGGAAGGGTTTGTGGAGACATGTATTCAAAGACATTGAAAACTTCAAAGGCTAGTCAGTCAGCTAAATAGCTGCGAAAGTTCTTCCTGCCTTCGTCCAGAATTTAGCAGACCTAACAAAGAAAAGGCAGAACTTGTGTGAGGGCCTAGGAACTTGTAGGGCTTCTAGGTGGAAGAAAAGGCGAAAGGGAAACGTAGCACAATGGTAAAGAGTTGGAGCGACTTCAACTTGGATATTCTAAGCTTGCAACTACATGGGAGACAGCTTGAAATGCTAAGACGATGAAGAGGATAAGTTTGCTCCAGAGAAAAAGATAAATTGCAGTTGCCCATTAAGAGAATCTAGTAGTGTGCCTAACTCAGAATTATACAGTGAGTGCTGATATCTTTTAGTTTTCAGCATAGCAAATTGAATGAGAAGCTTAGTACAGCTACTACTACCACTAGATATGGAACAACCAGCTTGAGGTAAACATCAAACAAGTAAAAAGTAAAAATACTACCGAGTCCAGAATTGTCACCGTCGTATTATTTCAGTTCGTCCTGTCTCCATTTATAGGGTGGCAGAAGGAATGATGAGAATTCCTGCATATGGAATGATGATGGCGACGAAGGCAAAGCGATCCAAATTCGTGATAATTATTCATTGTCCTCTTCGGACGAATTCCACAGCATCCGAGAAAGAAACAAAAGAGCAATTTGGCAAAGACAGCAGAGGAGTGCACGGAGCGACTCCAAAATCTCTCAATCAAAGCACTGAATGGCCTATTAGCGTGCTGAGCCTTTTGACTCCTTGCCTGAATAGTCCAATTCTTTGAGAGCCCCCTTCTTGTCACTCTTTATTCTTTCTTGCACTGAGGAATAGTTGTGAGTCATTGTTGTGATGCAGTGAAATAGACCACGTTTCTGAGAAGCTGTCAAATCCGTCATGCAGTGCCTTGAAACCTGTTGTTGCTTGAGAGAGAGAGAGAGTGGTGTCCTGTTGCCTCCGAGATCCTACTCACCTGATCGACCCTCGCGTATCATGGCGGTAACCTCACCGACTCTGTGCCTCGGCATGCGTGGGACGTACGGGAACTCCCAAAATGGTGGGCCAAAAGGTCCTGAAGGGATCACCAGCCGCCATCATTGCGTGGTGTTCAAGTTGAAGAACCAAGAACACTAATCAATGGCTTCACAGTCTGTTGGCGGAGAGAGAGAACGTTGCAAAGGACGCCATGAAGACCCCACAGGGAGAGTGAATGCATGCAAAGCCCCCTTCGGTCCATCTTCAAGGCAATCATGGCTTCTCATTGCACACGCCACCTCTCCTTCCTCCATAGCAAGGTTACCCGTGAAACTGTTTGGTCACTCTTACCTTCGGCCGACACAAGTAGACAGACTCGGTGTCTCTCACTTACTCCAAATATATAATAACCGAGATTATCATTGATAAGTCACTATAATTATTGTCAAAATACTTACAAATCCCTATTTAAACACCGACTTTTCTTAATGACACTAATTTTCCTTGTAAACATCTGAATCAGGCTGAGCCAACTCTCCTCCTGCCTTGATCGTTCTCAATTCCATCCTGTTGATAATATTTGATACAGTAATAACTGCATAAAAATGTTTTTTTTCCAGAATATTCCTGGAAGCATTATACATCGATTTTCACACTTCCAGTTGAAAATGAATGTACCTGCTCTTATTTTTCCAAACCAAAATTTCATCAGCTATCTCCTTTAATCTAAATTGGCTCCCTTCATCGTATCCACATATTCCCTTTCTTCCTACTTTGTATACACACACATATCTAGTAACATATAAATTTGTTTCATCAACCATCAATCTATTGAGTGTTCAGGATTATAACGTTGCATCACTTAAGTATGACTAATACTGTCGTTAAGTTATCAAATGAGATATCAACACGTCAGCAAAGGAATTCCTTATTTTAACTGAAAATAAAGATTCTCACTTTGAGAAGGATAATAAAATCAACTCAAGTTCAAAGACACTTTGGTGAGACAACCACTGTTCTTTGAGTGGTGTCATTGAACATCAAAAGTGCATGAATCCCAGTTATGACTCCTGATTTCCTGACAAGAAAAAAAAAGAGAAATGTTTGTTAGAGCAAATGGCAAAAAAATTATAATCCTAAAAATAGAATATGCAATTTTAAGAAAGATGACAATCTTGAAGTTCCAAGATGCAACCATGTTAAAATTAATCTTGTCAACTCAAGGCATATGAAAACAGCAAACACTAATTAGTGATGCAATGCCTGCAACAAGTCAATACAAAAACAGCCTACTACAAGTGGCCTACAACTAAAGATGACCTACCAAATGCCAGCCTAATGTGAAATAATTTTGGGAGGCATGTATGAGGAGGAAATAGATGCTCGACTCCTTGACTAGCCTGTATATCCTAGACTAAACCATAATGCAAATTAGCAATATCATAAACATTGAAATGCATCAGACTATTTGATGCACAAGGATAGCAGTCAGAGCTGATGCCCCAAGATGGTACATCTTTTCAAAATTGACTCGATGGTAATTGTACATATTAAGTTATAAATTATGATTCTATCAACTTCAAATCTGCCACACATGACGATTACTAGAGGACATTTACAAAGTTGCCTGCGATATATTGACACTTCATCTTCCTCCTGATGAGATTTTCATTCGTGATGTTCTCTTCTTAAGGTCAGTCTCCTTCCATTATGGCTGGCCGATCGTCTGTAGTTATATACTTGTTCATGTTCATACCTGATGCTGTAAGTTAGGCTTAACAATGGTATGTCACCTTAACAAAGGTACATCACTGTTGCTATTTGATAACAGTGAGTAGCACATATTGTAGTTTAGACAGTATATCCACAGACTAATCTAGCATGAAAAAGATCACAGAAACCACAGATCCAGGATATAACATCATTAAGATTAGAACTAGATCAAATCCCTCAAGAACACCAGGTTCATCTCAAAACTCAGTCAAATCATTATGAAATCCATTAAAATAAATGAGAATGCTTAGAAACCTCATGAATGGCAATTCAAATCTATAATGGTGCTCAGCCATTATAGTCCCAACAAACAGCTGCCAGTTAGAGATGGTCAATTCATAGAAGTTAAGCAAGAGACAGTCATGATTTAGTGATGAGTACCAACTCATCCATGCAGCGTAGAAAGGGGAAAAATTTTGGAGGCCACAACACATTTCCTCCTTGTGAAGCTTCCATGCTATGCACTGATGCTTTTGGCAGCAGCAATCAACCTTGGATTGAAGATCCATTGATTGGTTGCAGCAGATTGCACCTACTGGTTGTTCCCTTGGCTGTGGGCTATTGCCATGTCCTGCTGAGAATCAGCCTAAAAAGCCGTCCACTGGTGATAGCGGTTTTGACAGATCAGCCAGCCTAAGGACTGCCTTGCACAGCGATGTAGTAGATTAAAGAAATGGAGTTAGGGCCCTAATATTTCTTAATTCTTACCTATTTGCATCCAGCTCTTTCGTTGATTTGGGGAAGAAGGAAATCATGAAATATTAAATAAAGAATTAACAGGAGCTCATGTAAATGGTAGACTTGCTTATGTATTAAATATCCTATAGGATTTTCTTTTTTTGGGTGGGGGGTAGAAAGAAGAAAGGGGTGGGCAGTTTGCAAAAGTAGCTAACAAATGTGTAGGTTAGGAGAGTGGAGACGACAGACTTCTACCAACACTCCATATTGAAAAAAAAATTTCATCTCGATTATTAGTTGGTTTTGGAGAGTGGGAACATAAATACATAACATTCATGAAAAATCTTTTACTTTTAGTTTTTCAAATCATTAAGTACCTTGGTTCTAATCACACCAAAAGTTCATTGACAAGAAAACAATATCAATTTCAACTGAATTCCAAACAGAATGATGAACCATATAATTTATTATTGCTCCATCATAAACATCTCAATAGCATTAATGCATCTTTGTTTGTTGGAGATGAAGAATAGGAAATCTCAAATGCCATCCTTAAGATGTTTTTTGTTTCTTCTATGAACACATGCATACATGAAGAAATGTGAATATAATCTTATTAAGCTGTTGCAAAGTATAGTTGTTCCCTAATACAAATTACAAAAGTTGATATGATCAATGTTTCAAAGAAATGTATGTTGCAACCACCCAACATTAAGAGTGAATGTCATTTAATGAATGGAATGAGCATAGGCAGCTTGGAAATAACTATAAATAAATAAAATTTAATATATAGAACAATTTGTGCAAAGTACATATGATTTAGGATGTTTAAAAAATTTTATTGAGTCACTTAGAACTACAAACTTAATTATATGTTCACAATAAACTCAAAATCCATACTTAGACATGAATAAGATACAATAAGTCGGTTGCCAAGATGACCATTAAAGAGATGATGACCATGCACCATGTTTCTGGTCTGAAGCAGAAAATACACTTAGGCATCAGATTATCCTACCCTTAAATGTTTGGCCAAAGATGATTCGTAAAGAGTGCGATCTGGAGGAGTTCTAGAAATATATACATTAAAAAATCAATCTTGTCGATATTGTTATATTTTCTTACTTAGATGATTTTATTTATAACATAATGATTCTTTTATTTTCTTATGTCGATTGTATTAATAATCACACAATGATTTTTATTTTCGCTGGCCTTTTATTTGTGTGGTTACAAGAAGTCTAAAAAATAAAACCAGACTTTTTCAATATTGACAACTAAGCAGGAATCTGTCCTTCCAATGAATGCTGTCTTTCTCAAAAGTCACATAGAAGCAAGGTTTTAATACAAGTCAGACAGGTATGTACCACTGATATTTACCAGTCTAGTCAAGTCTCAGTATTGAAATATATAGCTCGATACTAACTGGTATTCAATCTTTTTCTATGTAGTTTTCCTTCTTTTTTTTTTCATCTTTTTCCTCTCTTCCTCCATTCAACTTGTTCCGCACCACATCAATATTCTGGTTTACATATGATCTAGTCAACCAATAACATTCCAGCAAAAAAATCAACTAGTCTGCGTAAACTTGGTGACCACTTTGTATATTGCCTTCACCTCATGCACTACAATTGTACATCAAGTTCTGTAATGACTAAAGTAATTTCCTAGACTTGTAATTCATCAGGAGATACCTTGCCAACATATCTTAAAACACTCAAATTCCACTTAATCAACATATGCCAGTCAAGTCACATGTACAACACCAAGCTTCCCTACTTACCACTTTATGAGCACAAGGATATTGGTGTCTCAAATCCTTGATATCCTCCTCAACAAAGAAACATATAGCCCCAACTTCTAGAGCTCAAATACCAACCTCTAGAGTTAAAATATGATACTAACATGAGAAAACCCTGAACCACATGAAGTAACCCACATCATAACACATGCCATTCACAAATTTGCTCACATTTATAACAACTTAAAAACCATAGATATGAAATAAGCATTGTTGGCAAGGCAAAAAAACGAAAAAGAAAAAAAGCTTCAACCCAAGTTGTTAGTAATACATGTCATATGTACCAGATTATAGTTCTTTCTTGATATAAAACGATTAAGACTACACATGTTTGTCAGTAGATTCGTTAATCTTCACTCACACTAGACCCTCAAATTATTTTATCAAATTTCTATCTCCTACAGACTTTGATATGCAGAACCATGAAAAACTATAGGTTCGGAGTGTCCTCTTTATATTTATCTTTTTCCAGCTTTTTGCTTGCTGTCCGACCATCCAAGGCATATGCACAGACAAGACATGAATGTCTATCTGGCTCATCCACAGCTAGAATATGTCTATTAAGGTTAGAAGATTTGACAAGGGAAATGGATGATAAGTCGCATTCACAAGATTATGCAGATTTATGAACAAGTAACTTATAGCATAATATCTTTAGTAGTGTCATGTCATTTTTTGCAACGAAAGCTCTTGCCCTAACAAACTAATTAGCAATCTACAATGTGAACAAAAGTAATCATGACACTAACAGAAACCATAAGAACCAAGAAATGCATTAAAACCCTTATCCATGGCAATGAAAGAAAAGAAACCCCGAAAAGTAACAGCTTCCCACAATTAGGTCATCTGGTCATACATTAAAACCAGAAAAAAAAAATTGACACTATAATAAGACAAGACAAATCTTTTTAAAGCCAATTATTGTCTTAACCAGCGCAAAATTAAATTTTGAAATCCATAAGAAAATACCAAAACCTACCTTAAGAAGAGGCATAGGTCGTATAAATGGTCACACCCTTTTCATAGATCTAAGGAACAATTAATCAGCATTTCTGAATTCAAGAATCATCCAATCTTTACTAGAGGAATATAAAAAAGACGGACAGATCATCAAAACTAAATCCTGATTAGAAAGAACCGAAGCAACAAAATTCTTAAACCCCCATCAAGTTCCAATTTTTATCCCCAAAAGAGGGGCATATATTCAAAACTAAATTGTAAGAACCAAAGAACCAATATTCCAAAACCCCAAAGTCGAACCTTGAACCAAAAAGCCATGCAATTAGATTAATCGGAATTTAAAAGAAGAGGGATGTGAGACGGAGGCTAACCATCACGTAGGAGAAGGGGGAAGAAGAGGATCAGGCGTTGGCGGGGGAGGGAATAAGCGGGATGCCGGCGCCGTTGCCCTGGCGCTGCTCCGCCTTCTTCTTTTCCTCGAGTGCACGGATCTTCTGCATCTGGAGCATGCGCTCCATGACAAGCTCGTACTCGCACTTCTCGTAGGTGTGGCGCTCGGACTCGCACTTCCAGGGCAGGAAGAACTCCGCGGAGCGGCACTTGTTGAGGGGGATGAGGAGGTGGGCGCACTGGTCGCGGTAGGGGAGGGGCACCCGGTTCTCTACCAACTCCTGCTGCGTCGCGATCATCGGCTTCGACGAACCCAGCGTCACTTCCTCTTCCGACATTGCTCGCTCGCTCGCTCTGGCTCTATCGATCTCTCTAGTCCAGCGTTTAGCCCTCGGCGGAGGCGCAATTATTGTCTTTTATTTTGTGGCGAGAACTCTGTTGGATTAAATCCAATGTTTCTGACTTTTCCTGTTGTGTGTGGATCCTCTCCAATTCGACCTCTAAATTAGACAGTCCAATTGTCACATCAGAGCCGATCATTCCCGTGGTCCCCACCATAATAATCGGAAATGATCCCATCGTATTGAGAACGGGCGACACCGATCGACACCCCTCTCTCTCTCTCTCTCTCTCTCTCCCACGAGTCCTCGCACCATCTAATTATTCATTCTCTCTCTCTCTCTCTGAGGGGGAGGAGGAATTCTTCGATTCGATTCGATCCGATCGAGACCCTCCTTGTCTTTGAATCGGCTTCCATGGCGACGATCGGGAACAACAGCATCAACGCCAAGCTCGTGAGTTGGCCCTCTGATTCCCCTTCCTTTTACCTCGAATTGTCGAATCTAAGACATGGATCCTTCTTGATCCCTAGGTGTTGCTGGGCGACATGGGCACCGGGAAGTCCAGCCTCGTCCTTCGGTTTGTCAAGGGCCAGTTTCTCGAATTCCAGGTATGGGTTTTTAGTTGATATTAGTACCATCATTTTATTGATCTTGATTTGATTTGTAAGCGATTCGAGGATTAAAGCTGAAAGCTAGGTTTTTGCGACCGGCCGTTGTCTTTGAATCGATTGCAGGAATCCACGATCGGGGCGGCCTTTTTCTCGCAGACGCTTGCGGTGAACGACGCCACGGTGAAGCTTGAGATTTGGGACACAGCCGGACAAGAAAGGTACCACAGCTTGGCTCCAATGTATTATAGAGGTGCGGCAGCAGCGATAATTGTGTATGACATCTCCAGAATGGTGTGTAGCGTCTGAGTTCATTCACTAGCGACACTAAAATAATTACATTTTTCATATGCTTACAATCCATGCCCTGTTTTTCGGCTTACTTGTTCTCTTCGAGTTCAGGAATCGTTTGAGAGGGCTAAGAAATGGGTGCAAGAGCTACAAAAACAAGGTCAGTTGAAGCTATTTATGTTTATCTCTGCCGGTTGTTTTGCTGATGATCTTTTATTGCTAATGTGCATACTATATTTTAGGTAATCCCAGCATGGTGACCGCTCTTGTAGGAAATAAATGTGATTTAGAGGACAAAAGGGAGGTCTTAACCGAGGCAAGTGTTTTGGCTGAGCCTGACTTTTTTAATTATGTTCCATCAAATTGACCTAATTGAGAGTGTGGCTCCATTTTTCCTGGATACAGCTTTAGTGGTTAGCAATAGACTGTATGCTAATATGTTGCATTGTTTGCTGAAACCATGGGCTTAGTTTAAGAGTAACCTTGCATATCAGTTGGATAGGTGGCTGAACTCAGGCATCATGGACCCTTTGTTCCTGATGGAATCATAATTGGATATTATAGAAGCTTATAATTTGAATGTACCTGCAATTATCCAGTCTGCTTATATGAGAAATTGAGTTTACTCGTGTAGAGGAAATATATAGCTCTTTTTCAAGTTAAACCACCACAGCGAAATTTGAAATGCAAAATTCCATTATTTCTTTTTCTGATTATTAATCACTTAGAGAATGTTTGTAACATATGAAAAGAGAGAATGATATATAGACACAGATAGATAATTGGAAATGGTACTAAGTTTTCACTGTTGTTATGAGTGCCCTGCTAGATGACTAAAATTGATCATCTTGTTGCACTTCAGAGGGAAAAAGCAGGACAAGAGGGCCAAAGGCAAGATTGTTAAATGATATAATGTTAAAATATTGCTTTTTCTTCTTAGTAAGACACCTTTCGTGGCACTCTATCTGGCATCCAACCAAGGTTATTCTAATTTTCTTGGTGGATTAGGTTAATATGATAGCTTGTATTATTTAGAACTTGCTCTCGGGAGCAAAGTTCTGGAATGAGGAATTTACATGACACATTGCTACAAAATATTGGGAGGTTGTCTTTATCTTTACACATTTTTTTTGCAGAAAGTTAGTGTGCTTATTTGATTGTTTGACACAATGAACATCTTGTGTTTAAAAGCATGCAAACAAACCATTGTTTATGTCTTCAGAAGGACAAATTTGTGCTATCAAAAATTAGAGTTGTTCTTTCTTGAGGTTCAAGTTTACTTCTATATTTCCTCAAACTTGCATATAATTTTTATGGTGAATTTCTGATAGTTTTAAATTAATAGAACTGCTTGCTTTTGGTCAATACAAGTTAAAATAAATAGATGTTTTAATTGCTTTATGATTCTAATCCAGCCAAAATAAAATACCTTTTTGGCTTGTTGTATTGTTACAAGATCGTTGGGATATCCAATTTGCATCTAATATTATTATTCATTCTTGCATTGTTTTTCACAAGCTTGTAGACTGGTATTGATGGTGATTTAATTCTTATGCATAAAAATGCGAAACAATTTTGTCTTTGCATTGCAGGAAGCACGTACTTATGCGGAGGAGAATGGACTTTTCTTCATGGAAACCTCTGCTAAAACTGCCATCAATGTGAATGACATATTCTATGAAATAGGTACAATCTTTGGCATCGACTCGTGTTACTCATTAAGAGTGACCTTATTTATTGTATGACATGGCAAACCATATCTAGGAATTAAACAATTACTATGTCCTAAAGTGGGGATGGGAATATCATGATTATTCTGCTATCTTCTCAAATTTAGACTTCATGCACATAAAAGATAGCCTTTTAGATCATTGCTTAACCTGATATAAAGTGATGGTTGCCCATTTATGGAGATGTATTTTCTTAACTAAATGGTCTTTGTTGTTCTGGAATATATAAATGCATTTGTATAAGATCTGTACCAGATGATCAGCTTTTGTACAGATTTCAATAGGATTATGTTGAGTATATGATGATATACTCTTGATGATGGTTCCAAATGACATTGGATATCAAGCACTGATTTTTAGTATCATGATGATATTTGTCTCTTTCCAAGTTGTTTGATGGTGAAGTTTCTGATGGAACAGTGTTGTAGAAGTTATTACAAAGAGGTTCAGATTTCCTGATCTTCAATTATAAGTCCATCTGGTACACTGAGCTTGTTGTGATCAGGGCTAATAGTTTGGAATCCTATGCTAAGGGTTTATTGAAATAATGATTCAGATAAATAATAACATTCTTGTGATTTAACCTTAATCACCTTGATCATTAAACTGCTAATTGGATTCTGTTTAAGTTTTTAGTTGTTTCATTTTTAACATCTATGGTGTTTAAACTATTTTAGAGACTTATATTATGTAACAGCACTTTTCCTGATTTGTCAGAAGAAAATATAAAACAATATTATTTATGCAACAGCAAGAAGATTACCTCGTGCTCAACCAGCTCAGCAACCAGCAGGAATGGTTATTGCAGATAGACCAGCTGAAATATCACGTGCTTCAACGTGCTGTTCTTAGGTGAGAAACTGGTTTGTCTTATTATATGCATTATGCCTCAGTCTTCCATCTGGGGGTGGGTTAAGATCCATAGTTCAGATAGATCCAGCACATATATATAGTGGGCTTACAATATTAGTCTTCAGAGAAACGTTGCCTGCTTTTGCTGTATGAATCAAAGACACCACTTTGACAAGTTCAAATGCTGTTACAGGAAGAGAGAGAGAGAGAGAGAGAGCTCATAAATGGATGTAACCATCTGTGATTAGAAGACCTTTAGAATTTAGTTTCAACAATATAAATTTACAATTTTGAAATGTCATCTTGCCTATCAATTCTTTCTCTCCGCAGATCGTTGGTGTTCAACTGTTGGAAAAATGAGTCAAGAGGAGTGACAACAAATCAAGTTGTTAATTATGGAGTAAAGCTTAAGAGACGCACCTGTAGGCTGCTTCAAATTCTCACCTCCTGTTTGGACCTTGTCATTTGCCTCATGTTCTTTCCATCAAACTCATGATATTCCGGTGTGTAATTAATGTGCTCCGTGCTACTTTGGATGGTTGATCTGTTCAAGATAAGGTTTGTATGCCTAAATTTGTCTGTTCCGTGCTACTTGGAATGTTAAACGTCAGTTCTTGATGCCTAATAAAGCTTGTATACTATGGTATCTGATGTCTCATAAGGGTCGCATCGATTAGAAAGTGGATGGTTCAAGACTTTAAAAAGGTTCCCGAGTCCTAAGGCATTTTGGAGTTCATCCCAAAGGACAGAATCGTGTGATATCTGTTCCAAACAGGTGGTGGTCTGATGATATGCTTCACAATATTACTTACATGAGATCTCAAAGGAAAGATACAATATCGTTGATAAATCAGCATAATCTAACAAAACAAAGATACCATGTGTTGCATCTCCTCCTGGTTGCATACCAAACTGTAGAAATATATATATATATTTCAAATTAAGATGCAGAGACATGTCTTTTTAATATATATGTATGTATAATATTCAATTAATATAAGTTTTATAGTATATATAATTAAATTTTATAAACTTAATAATATGAACAAATAAATATCATCATTTAAAAAATAAAATTATTAAATAATATTTGACAATATCTAGATATAGTTGATATATATTTTATGTTCCGATTTCCTTTTTAACAAAACACATTACCTTTACATGAGGGTCACACGTGCGAGTGTTCGGCAAAATATATGACCCTCATGTGAGAGCCACATGAGCTGCTGAGCACAGCGCCACACACACAGTGTCAAGGCATGTGTGTTCGACACATGTTGAACACAAACACATCCACCAAAAGCACAAGTCCCGGCTTCTTAGTGTAGCCACAGTTCTTCCCATGCATTCAAGTTCACATTCTATATCAAAATAACATAAATTTACTCGATCTACATCACGTTCTTCCAGTGCATTCAAGTCCTCAATCTACACTTGCTCATAAATTAATTTGACAAAGCAACATAGAAAAAATATTTCAATGACAAAAAGAAAAGAAAGAAAGAGTTAACACAATCTACATGATGGAACCAAGAAAGTTTTCTTCCTGTCTGTCATAGTGACTGGAACTGTGTTTTCAAACGATGTGCACTAGGAGCACCAACTCCAGCAGCAAAATGAAGAAGGAACTTGACCGGTTCTTCCAATGTACTCTGCTTGCCGAGCAGTTTTTGCAGCTTGTTGATTTCTTCTGGCTCCTGCTGTAGCACGCTTTTCCTGAGCTTTGTGTCTTACAGCTGCTAGATGGTTCGTCAACTTCTCGTTTGCAAGCGCCTTCATTCTTTCTATCTCAACCTGCAACAGATGTTCATCACCATATCAGAAAACTTGAATTGTGAACAAATGGAAACCAACACATCGCCCCAAAGCAAATGCAGCAAATACGTATTCTAAAATTAGTCATATGTCTCGTGCTTAAAAGCCAATGAGATGGAGGCAGACTTGAATTAATGTGCATCAGGACTCTCTTCAAGCTTAAAAAGAAACTAGCTGCTCGGGTATCACTGTTCCTAATTGCTCTTTTGAATAATATGCCAAAATCATGCATACAGTTGCTCCTTCATTCAATAAGAAATTAGTCTAAAATTGTAATGTTCGGAATCATGTGTTTCACCAATATCAATTCACCATATAAATATATGTGTGATTACTAGTTTACTACTATGACGAAATAAGATACTGCCAACATGAGGCGTGGTAACTATATATTTGTTCAATTCTTTTCAGCAAAATGTTGACACTTTACACATGCTAAAGTTTATCCAACATAGAGGAGCTTTGGAATACGAGTGCATGTGATATAAGATATTTCCAAACATAAAAAAAAACACATCTTTGCCACAAACTATAGTTAGTACCTCAATTTTCCTCATTTCAGCTTCAATTGTTGCTTTTTGATGATTTTCCCATGCTTGGATTTTGATCTCTTCTCGTTTAAACCTGCTGAATTAATGTCTTTCAGAATGTAAAAAGCCTATGAAAGAAACAAACAAAATAAATTACCAATGCTTAACCAGTTTCCTCAAGGGGGAAAAGTTTATTTGCAGAATACTACCTAGCGAGATACTTGGTATTTTTTGCCTCCTCCCATGCCGCACTTGCTTCAACAATGCTTTTGGCTGGCTGACCTTTCAACACAGTCTTAGTTGAAGTAGATGCATCGCTTTCATCCTCCTTCTTGCTGGCCCATGCAGCTATGTTTGTCTTACCTAGCTGCTGGCCTAGAATCATTATTTCCCTCATAGTTTTATTTTGAAGCTCCTTCCTGGACAACTCCTTATTGCTGAAATCCTCATCACAATCACCTGACTCAGTTTGGGTTGAAACTGGAGCCATTTTTTGTGGAGACGAAGGTTGAGAAGAAGTTCGGCTGCAAAGTGGTGAAGTTGCTCTTGCAGGAGTTCCTGTCCGAGAAGGTTCTTGACTTGCAATAGGAGTCATTTCTGTGCCCATATCTCTCATGGATACAGGCCTAAAAGTTGTGTTAGGTGTCATTAATGTTGTAGCACTCTGAACAGATGATGAATCATGCCAACTGAGATTGACTGCACATGCACATACAATGATGACTCAATTGTCGCACATACAATGATACAGGCCTAAAATTCAATAGCTACTAAACATATACTAGCAGTCACCAAAAACACTAGATCTATGGAAGAATTCTCAAGATGAAGGCCTCTTGTGAATTTAAAAGGCCTCATACTTGAAAATTTGCAACTTTAACTTGATATGCTATCAACAGTAATTGTCATTTGGTTTTGGACCACATATATTCTATCAGTCTCATTTTTTATATTACTAGCACGTCAAAGAGGTACTATGGTCCATATACGAAACCAAAACTAATGATATATGTAATAAGTTCCATTAACATTTTAAAGCTTCTTACACAATAATAATGCAAAAGTTGGCAATTACACAATAATAATGCAAAAGTTGGCAATTATGAAATCGACATGCTAAAGAACCTGCAGTATCATTAGTCATTAGTTCACAGTAGAGGTAAAGGTTGGACAACTATTCTACATACCGAGGAGTAGAAATTTGCAAAGAAAGAATAAAAAGGAAAAGACTTGGCAACAAGTGCGGTAGGAGAGGGAAAAATTACCAGCAGAATCAGCCACTGGATTCTCCACAACAACAGCGAGCTTCACCTCTGAATCCAAAGTAGCACAAGGCTCACCTGCCCAATTCACAGTCTCGATCCCACTGATTTGTGTCTTTGCTTGGCTTCCGTCCACCCTCTTAGCAGCTGCTTCGTCCACAACCTCCAGGACAACCTTAGCCGCTGTCGGCTGGCTCCCAGACCCAGTTAATCCTACATTGTTCGCTTGCCGTCCACCGGGCTTATTCGCCCCCCTGTTCGACGTCGGGCTTACAATCCACTTCTCTGCATCATCCCATTTAGATCGTGCTGGCTTCGAGAGTGGCGGCACAACTGCTGCTGCGGCCGTCAACCGGTGCGGCCGCGTTCGCTCTCCCTTCTGAAACTCGAAGCCGGACGACACGCTCTCCGATTCGAGAGAATGCTTTTCTTGTGACCTAATCCTCGGCGCCCCCACTGCGTGCTCTATCGATCTGTGGCCGCTAGGCATCTCCGTCGAAGTGGAGCACTCTACGTCCTTGCATCTATTTGCCGCACTGACTCCTGCAAGATTTCATCAACGCGCCTCCGCAAATCTAAGCTTCAATGTCAGATGTTTTCTGTCCAAACCGAAAAAAAGAAGAGGTCTTTAGGACGGTCCTCGAACTCGGAGGGTTCAGAAGGCAATGAGACTTGGAATGGAGCTCCTCCTCTTCCTTTCTTATCCACTCAACCCCAAGCAGCATCGCCCGTTCATTCTACACAAATGTCAGCCTAAAATCGTTCAAGGACCCATCAAAATCTCCAAGAATCAATTTTTTTGATTGATTCCTTCTAAGGTCCGTTCAAGCTCGAACATTGCAAGAAGAAGGCATCCAATCGGACCGAAAGCAAACACTAACTGGCGAAAACCTTGGCAGAGATGGACGGAATCTTGGCAGAGGAATCGGTGCGACGAGGGACCCATGTAGCAGCTTCAGTTTGCCTATCTCCGAGATCGGACCTCCAGCTCAGAGAGAGACTGCCGAGGCGACAAAGGCTCGTGGATGCACTCGAAATCCATGGAAGGGGCCGAAAGTGAGGTTGGGATTGAATCAAGAATGGCGAAAGGAACATTTGATCACTCTCATAAACTACGAAGAAGTAGCATACTCATTTTCGTACAAACCCATCCCGCCGCATGTGACCTGCTCAGAAACTGGTCATCTTAATATACGGCGATCACCAGTTGTCGATGCCTCGCTTCACGTTAGCTCCAGCCAAATTATGTCGGTGTTCGCATGCTCTTCTTCGGCTTCCTACCTGACGTTTGGGCTCCGTTGCCTTGGATTAGCTGAAGAATCATGACTCCATGACTGTTCCTGCAAGCCCAGCATAGGATGGCATTAAAAGCGCTGCAGTGACTGCAGGGGATCACAGAGAAGCTTTCTAGGTGATAACACTACACACACCATATTTTGCGTCCTTTAACTGATACTGAGGTCATGAAACATTCCTAGTGTATCTATCATTCATGACTCACTGATGCCACTTGAGCTGCAGAACGAGACCTTGTTCTCATTTTTGTAAACTGTCAATCCTTGATTCTTTTGCGCTATCATACAAAAGAACATGCTCAAAAGTTCTTTGCTAAAAAGTGTGTTTAGTAATGATTTGTTTATGACTACGCCATGCTTTTAATAAAGATCATTACAAGATGACAAAGTTGACTTTCGTTCATATCATAAGAATCATGAAGTTTGTAAAGCATATGCCACTCTTGTTTGGTTTTATTCAAAGGGCACTTCTGTGCAGCTTAATCCAGGAACTAAAACCTGACCTGCTCCTTCAATATCTTACAATAACAATACCATCTTCCAGTTCAATAAGCACAATCTGAGATGTCCACCAAAATAGTACAGTTTATCTACATTAATGATCACTAACATCAAGATCACAAATACATTCCATGTAGTAGATCATACCAAAGACACTGCCATGGCTCAAAAAGTAAAACAAAATATGTAAGACGAATCAAAGCACTATATAACATGAGAATACTCTCTTTGATTTGCCAGTTCACAGCTGTGATTTCATGAAGCATCAAAATCAAATACCCAGGCTGGTACTTGACGGTTTCACTCTCACTTACTAGTTGCTCATGTGCATCAAATCTTTCTTCCAACATGTTCAGCTCCCACCTAGTATATAGTCTGCTCTCAATTAATCAAATGTGATCATGCCGGCAAATCACTTGATAAACAAGCTATGTATCAATCAAGGCTTTGCCGCTGATGGAGTGCAAGTGTAAAATATATAAGAATCATTGTCCCCATGCTAGACCTGTAAATAATAGGTGAACATCAGTGATCTTCCAAGTATTTTTACTAATAAAGTCAAGGTTGCAGTCCTAGAAAAATCTAATGGGATACAAGCAGAGAAGAACCAATGTGCCAAGTTGTTCTAATGCAGAGATGACTTTGTCACTGAAAGGAACAACCGAGATAATTGGGATTGGATGCTTAAGTGGAGTGGCTTCTAGAAATCAGCTTTTATATTCAACTTTGAACTATGTAAAACTAGCTTGCAGTTTACTGCTGTCAGGGCAACGCGTAAAAACTGTGTTTTCAGTGAAGCTGGTAATTTTTATTTGTATTAGAAACTAACTCCGATAAAAGTCCATTTTCAGGTTTGTATAATCATGAAACACAGACAAACAAACCTTTTCAGTGATTTAAGGTTCCGACACGATCTTAATGAAGCCTGACCACCAAGAAGGCCCAGGGAAATAACAGTTGGAGTTTACTTGGATGATGTAAGCTGTAGACAAGTTTAGCATCTTGAAGAAAGGAATGGTTTAGAGAAGTATGATCGGAGTAAACTTGACCCGTTAAAAAGGTAACATAAAAGAACCTTAGCAAGTCACAATCCCCAAATGTAAGTTGTTAGATAAAGAGAAGTATGCCATTGTTTGTTCATGTGACCAACAACTAGCAGTAGACTATCAGCAAAGGAAATGTGTAAAATTATGAAGATACAAAAATATCAATTGTAAGATATATTAAATAAGGCACAAGATGTATGTATCTTTAACATGCATATGTATATACATGAAGAGTTGAGATAGCATCCTGTTGGGTCTCTCAGTCCTGCTGACTCAAAATCAATCATAAGGCCCAAAAACCAAGAACTTCATTCAGCATATCAAGTGGGAAAAAGTTTGCACAAATTTAAAACATATTTTATTTATTAGTATGAAAGCATCAAAACAAGATAAATTTTACAAGGATCTATTAATATTTAGATTAAGATCAATTCCTTGAATCATTAAGTTGAAACAGCCAAGACCTTTTAATCTTCAGATGTGGTCCACAACAGGGTCGCATGACATGAACTTATTTAGTCCAAGGATGAAAATGCACTGTAACTCAATTTTGGAAAGCTGAAGTAGATGAACATGCTGGGCAGGGTTCAACTGCAACAAACACAGTATAACTGAATTGTCTGAGCAACAGGTGCCCATGTCGTTTTGTGAATAAGATTATCCGGCATGGTGTTTGACCATGGTACAGAAGTTTCATAGACCTTTCTCCTCTCATCTCAGCTGATATTGTTGCTGTATATAGGGCAAACCTTAGGTGGAGGTGCCTTGTCATGGAGGAATGCCAAGTATAAGATCTTGTCCATGTGTTGCTTAGTATAGTACTAATTCTTGTTACCATGAAATTAATCAAGTTCTTTCATTTGATGATGTTTCAGCATGTGACACTGCCATCTGTGAGGTACATTTCAAATGATGGATGAATCTGTTATCAATGACAATAGTTTCATAAGACAAATTTAGTTGTTGGCCACCGAAATTCCTTTTTTTTATAATCTCTATTGATTTATTTTGACAATATCAGACACTGGAACATAAACTGGGAATTAGCTGCTATCTCAATCTGAGGGGATAAAGCATTATTTTGCTAAAGCATTCTTTAGAAACATTATTTTGCTAAAACAGCCTGACTACTGTTATGAAATATGTAAAACTCCTAATCTATTAGTAAGTTTTATTTCCTGATTGTATACAAAATTCCAAGTCTCTAATCATGTTATGAGAACATGGAAAAGACTCTGGAATTAAACACTCCTCCAAATTAATCAGTCAGCAAATCATAGCATGAGAAAAGCAATAAATGATACTTACAAAGAAGCAAAGAGGAGAAGAATTCTCCTGGGGTTGATGATTGTTACACGAAGAAACTTCCTAGGCTTTCCATCTCCAGCATCTGAAACAGGGGTATTGGTTGATGTAGACGAAACTACAAGAGCTTTATTCGCAATTAGTGGTTGCTTAAACAGCTCCATGTGAGAAGGAACCACTGTTGAGGAGGAAACAAAGAGTTTCACTTGAATATCTTGATTGTTGCAAATGACGTATCTCATTTTTAAAATTGAATGTCTTATAGAAAAAGACAAGAAGCTAACACACCTAAGACATGTTACGTAAGCTGCAAGACATTTGTCATTTGATGCTTCTTGCAGAACGGCAGGCAAGGTTATTTTATCAAAATTGATAAGTGTCAAGTCTAACATCACATGCAATGGAATGGTGTAAACCATTAAGTTGCTGTCACCTCTTGTCTTTATATGTTTGGTGCAATAAAATGTGCAGAGACAAAGCTAAGGCATCAACTACCTCAAATTTAATGCTAATTGCATGTGCAAAGTTACCTGATTTTATTTTCCATAATAGCTATAACAGCAATAGTCACATTCTATACCTTTCACCGCAACCTTTTTAGTAGTATCATCCACATCTTGCTCCTCACTGTTCCGCCTCTCCATCCGGCATGATCCTTTACGAGATAAAGGTTTCTGCCAGGGAAGAAAAAGAAGAAAAATATGTAAATTATTTACTTACGCACCATTTTGTAGCTGTAGGATGTTAAAGGCAAGTCCATGTGCCAATTCAGAATTACTGCATTAGGCTGTAGGATTGCTCACCGTCATTTTTGGGCTTCCAGAGCATTTATCAGAGGATTGTGTGAGACCCTCAATGTCTAATACTACATTTCCTGCTTTATCTACTGCTGTAACTTCTCTCTACAGCAAATTACATGAACAGTAATTATGAAAAGGATACCTATAGATATCACTACTTAGATTAGTAGTGAAGAAGAAAAAGCAACATGTAGATGCTAAAATCACTCTGACTTGAGCAAAAAGTTCTACGGCAACAAAAAGCTTCAAGTCGTTCCACTCAAGAATATGTAGACTTTATGTGCCCTTATATTTGTATACTATGTAATGAAGAGTACGTTGCACACATGTTATTGACAAACCATCAAAATCAAGCTCCTTACAGTTCTTCAAAAGTGAATCATCTCAAGTATTTTTGAAGAAGGATTTGTCTCTAATACTTGCATTCCCGTTAGCAACTGACCGAGAACTCTTAACTTTAGGTGGAGATGATTATAAACTAGGCAGTATAAGTGCTTCATTTCCTTTTCCAGAATAAGATGTAGCTGAAGCAAGATGGAATTTCCAATACCTGCATTAAGATCTCCTCCATTTCAGATGCCTTTGATGTCTCTCCCAAGGTACAGTCAATACCAACTAGCACTACAGAATAACTGCTTCATTAAATGGGTTCTAATAAACAACCAAAACTGCAGATAGACCGATAGTTACACTATATGCAGATGCACCAAAACCAACAGAATTGTTCATAATTATCGTGAAATGGCTTAATAACACCACTTGTCCATGAGAACTAAGGGTTGAAAATTCTTAAATAATTAACATTATTTAGTAAATCACTTGAAAGAAATTTGGCAAAAACATGGTGAAGTACTAACTACTGGTTTGGTGATACAAAGTGGAGAAATTTTCGACATCACTCAATATATCAGAGTTGGAACTTAAATTTCTTAGGCAACCGAGCAGACATACATGTTTATGCCTGATAGTTGATTATCTTAAGTACGAATCTTTCTGCTTCATGAAAGAGAAAACGGCAGTCACTCCGTCATACAAAATCCCAATTTTAGCTTCACAACCTGCGAAATCAAATATTTTAATCTAAATGAACTACACAAAAGTCTGTTTTCTACATTCTTTGAAATAAAAAAAAAGAACAGCGAAAAATGTTTCTTACCAAGTAAAAGAATTAAATCTTGTTAAAAGGAAATGATTCAATAACGAAAGAGACCACGATTATTATTTTTCCTCTAAGAGAAAATAGCTTTTTAGTGGAACCACACAATGCATTTTAAAAGGAAGAACAGTTCGATTTTTCCAATTCAAGAAAATGAAAAATGAGGTAAATGTAAGAGCATGGCCACACAGCAGAAGAATTCGGTTTTATTCCGAGAAAAAAAAACCTATTTTTCTGCTTAGAGCAGCAACATTATACACACAAGAAACTCATGAAAGGTTCCGAGCAAGAGACAAAAGAAGAAGAAGAAGAGAAGCAGCCGCTGGAAAGAGCCGCCAGTTCTCTAGAGATTGGGTGTTACTGACTAACAAATGCCAGATTGCTTCTTTTCTGCCGCCGGCAAATGCTTCCGTCGTCGCCGTCAGCCTCGAAATGGATCCGCTGTCTCTTCCGGAGAAGTGAAAGATGTGTGGAGAGCAACAAAGAGATGTCGGGTGTCTCCCTGTCTTCTCATTTGCTCCATAAATAATGAGAACGAAGAGTGGAGGAGCTCTCTCTCAACGCCTACTGGAATCGTACTGTTGCTTTGAGATAGGAAAGAATACTTACTGCAGTTGGATAAGAAGATTAGCTGTAAGAATCTTACAGTACTTTGACAAATTCCAAAATCTGGCACCAGTAGAGCACAGGACAAATGCTGAGCATAGAAAAGAGTACTAACTTTGGTAAATCAGAAAATTAAAACAGGTATTAGGAAGACAAAGGACAATGATGGGCAAATGATAGAGTACTTATTCTCCCTATCAAGCACAGCTACTCTCCTCATCAACACAATGTTTGCATTTTTACATCTCCAGTTTGTATCAACAGTAGTGTTCATAAAAAGTTCGATTAAGAAAAGAAAAACTAAAGAATGCAAGATTGTTAATGTGGTTTATTAGTTTGAAAGGAGCATGGGAAAGGAATGGTAGATTAAAAGGACAAACAAACAAGAAAATATCTGTAGGAAGTAATTTGAATTGGTAAAAGTAAGCTTAAGTTTTATAAACTTAGAGTACAATGTCTTGGATGTATCTAAAAGGCTCCTAGTGTTGATTGGGTGAAGTACTTGAATGAATTCTTTTCTAAGATGTCACTTTCTTGGAAGGAGCCCTTCTCATATGTTTGTTCCCTCTTTTTTTGTATTGCTCCAAGCTTAGGGTGGGAAATAGAGGATTTAGATGATATAGTTAGGAACTTGTTAAAAAATATGCTTATTTTGAAACCAATAAATGTCATATTATAGAAAGAAAGTGACATTATGGAGATTTCTTTTAATACTAATGACTTGACATACTTATTTGAATTTTTTTTGACATTTTCTTGTACAAATATAAATTCTATATCCAACTGTTATGACAAAGGTTCACAAAAAGGGGCACTGCTGAGTACATGAGAATAGATCTTCATTAACTATAATATTTTCTCATATATATATATATATATATATATATATATATATATATATATATATATATATATATATATATATATATATATATATATATATATTATAGTGCTCTCTTTTTGGAG